CAATATCGGGGATGAGGAAAAGCTGGAGAAAATACAACGTAGAGCAGCAAGGGTAGTAATGAAAGTGGGCTATAGTGATGATGCTCTGCACGATCTGCGTTGGGAAACTCTGAAAAGCAGGAGAGAACAGCATATTTTTAAATTAGTTAAGAAATGTGTGAGGGGAATTGTTCCTCAATTTTTATGTAACTATTTTAGTTTTAATCGTCAATTGACAGTAAGAACCACCCGCCAAAGTAACTTATTGCATTTGCCAAGAGTTCGAACAGAAATGGCGAAGAAATCGTTTTACTATAATGGAGCAAAGGTTTTTAATCGTTTATGTGACAGTTGCTAGATACTTTCAATTTTTTTGGATTTTAACTTACCATATTACATTTATATCATAGTTAATAGTTGCATGTAGCGTAGTTTTTAACATTAGAGAAATTATTGTAGTTTATATAGGGCTCTCGTTGATAACAGACCAGTTGTGGTCTGATGAGACTACCCTATCAAAATAAAGGTTTTATCTATCTATCTATCTATCTATCTATCTATCTATCTATCTATCTATCTATCTATCTATCTATCTATCTATCTATCTATCTATCTATCTATCTATCTATCTATCTATCTATCTATCTATCTATCTATCTATCTATCTATCTATCTATCTATCTATCTATCTATCTATCTATCTATCTATCTATCTATCTATCTATCTATCTATCTTTGTCGGGATTCTTTCTACATTGTTATGCCAAGGATAATTTTGGGAGGGGTGTCACACTTTATCGCACACAGCACTCTTGGCGTCTTTCATGATGGCAACATCAATGATTGGGAGGGAATTGCAGTCTGTCGCAAATCAGCACTCTTGTAATATTTCTCGGATGTTTCCCAACAAACGAACTTGTTCATAAATAGCTATATGCAAGCAAGGTCACCAGACACATGCACTCTAATTCTAGTGGTTATTCTATATCCAGAATCACAAGCTCTTTCCATGATCTTACATCCATCTGCTGACCTTCATGTAATATACTTAGGGCGAGGATATGAAATTGATAGGTTAATTCGCATAGGTGCGATAGGTGTCTATGCAGAGGGTGAGCGTGAGTGATGATATTAACAAGGATCAGTTTGTCCAAAAAATCTTTTCCCGGCGACGCTCAGGGATCGATAAATAGAAGAGCTGTCATAGACGCAGCGTATATATTTATGTTGTCCAATAAGGTTACGATATAGCAATATAGTTGCCTCAGAAGAAAGTTAATTGTCTATTCATGCATGTCGTAAGAACAACTACTTTTAAACGAAACCTATAATGCGCCTACCGATCTACATCAGTCAGCTATAATAGTCATATTTCTAATCGCTTTATAATAGTATGACGATATTACACTACACTCAATTAGTTGGCACGGCTAACAATGATACCCAAACCCAATTTTATCCGTCCTCAAGGCTCAAACTACCGATGCAGAGGACGGATGAATTTAGTATGATGGTGACCCATTTTAGTGTTGTTTCGGGCTTGAGAAAAGTTGTAATATTTGCAAAATTCATTTTGGATAACAAGAGGTAGTGAAATGAAATCCCTAAGCACCTGTGCTTGACTGCACACATTTCAAAAGACCACTTGAAATCTCTGTCAGGATGTCTTCTACAGGGTGTATAAAAAAAAACGCAACCACTTAATATTCATGAATATCCTCTTTGTTCTACAACACAAAAGACGTTTGGCCCCTGGAATGCGAGAAAGCTTGTAATCATATTCTAGCGGCACAATCGTCGGTAAACAAAGTTAGGTGCGTAAACCAACGAGCTGAATTGAAAGTATTTAACGAGTAAAATTTTACTTACAACTTATTTTATAAGGTTGACAATAAAAACTCGTTGTTCGGTTGTTAGCAGCACCATTATTAGTTTAGCTGATTTGACTATTAGCAGTTAAACTGTACGATTAGAAGCCATTTTAAAATCCCAGGGGCATAAAATCTATTGAGCTTATAAACAATATGAATTTTAGAATATTAAGTGGTTGCGTTTTTTTTGAGACACCCTGTACAATCAAGACCTCCATCAAGTATCTCCTGGCATGCATCTTTCTTAATATGTGTTTCCTATTATGCATTACAGTGCGTCGCACATCAGTGCTCTAGCATAACATGTTTGACACGGTTCTTTGTCGGAAGGGTACCAATGCAACACGCAATCTCCCGATCTTGAAAAAATGATCGTGGGCCCCAAACGGTGAACGATCCTTTTTTCTTAAGGTAATATTCAGCACTTTCATTTCTAGGGAAAATTCCTAAATGCAGGATTTCATAAAGAGAAGGAGAAATGTTTGTTGTAATAGTTCTTTGTCCTGGCTCTTCTATAGCATGCTGTATGCCCCACAATAAAAATATGCACTTTGAGCAAAAGAACCCTTAAACCCGTCACACTATACCGCGGACTCAAATGGTCACAACATCAGTTTAACGGTATCTCTGTCCCCAGAACGTTTTCATATGGCAGATCATGTTAAGAATATCATGCTATCATACTTTTGGGGATAAAACTCGCTTTGACATAGCTATAGCCATAGTTTTGTGACCATAATGCGGTCGTAAACAGAGCCCTAGAGATATTTCCTGTGGCGTAGCCAGCCTGGCATACCTCCGCTATGCAAATTTTCGGGTATTACAATTGTGTATTTTTTTATAAATTAATTTTTTTTCCGCCAATGAACATCAAAACGAATAAAATGCACGAAATAAAAGCCTAATTCTTACTATAAATGTAAAGATAGCGACTCAATTTAATGTGGTAGTAATTTCATTGAACTAAATAGATTTCTACCTTAAGGCATGCAACTGTCCGGTAGAGATTTCAGTAAGACATGATACAGAAACATGAACAGTTTTCTAAATACTTTTTGAATTTACGTATTCAAATTGACGTATGAAATGTCTAAATTAATGCAATTAATTTAAAGCACTAAGGCGTTGTCACATGCACTATATAATTTTCCTTGCAACTTGCCTACAATTATAATTTCGAGGGATGTTAATTATAGTAACGAGTATTCGAAATTCTAAGAAGACGTTAGGAGATCGTAAAAAATGTTCGTATTTCAGTGTCAACTTTAGATGCCTCAGAAGTATAGAATTGCAGTGCAAGTTGCGTGAAGAAAACAGTAGGTTGTTTGGCATTTCACGCGCTCTAAATTCAACGTATAAACCAGGGCAATAGGATAATATATATATATAGTATAGGACAGTAGGATATAAATTAGATGACAGATTTCCTGGACCGTTATTATCGTCTCATAACTTGTCTTATATTTCTTGCCTTCGCCGCGTTCGGTATGATATTCCACTTGATATTTCGTTACATCGCAAAATACCTTATAATTTTTTATATACAGTATTTGTTTTTTGAAAAGTAACTCAGAATGAATCAGATGAGCAGAAGATGATGTTGGCAAACGACCGCTCCAGAATGGCAAATTTTTCACACATTACCCATGCATTCTTGGGTTCCTGTGACGTGATAGGTCCCGGGAGTGGTCACCTTGAAATCGAGACTCGGTGATTGAAATGAGTTAGTTGTTCACTGTTCATCGGTCGGCTTGGAAGCAAATATGCATGTGTAGTTTCGTATCAACTTTCCAGTCCCGGTTACATAATCATCGAAGTATTTCAGTTTGACAACTTCCAAATAGAAAGCTTTATAATTGTGCATAAACCCACAAAGGGAAGGTGCATGTTTATAAAACTACAAACTGCTTTGCATTAGTAGATATTGCAGATAGCATTACAAAGTATAAACAACTGTCTCTACTTGTTGGATTTGAACATGTATGACATTTTCTTTTCGCGGGTATATTATAGAAAGAATAACCAATTTCGCAGTGGTTATGCCATGCACTGAGCATGCACACAAGGTGAAAAGCTGCCTCTATAAGCAGGCAAAATAGTACGATAAATCACATGTTCCCATAATGCATGCATGTGTTCATTCGCAAAGCAAAACCCTTTCGAGCTACAGACCGTAATTCCTACTGAGATTGTTTTGACCCCACAGAGCAGAATTGTGATTAAAATTAGTGCCTAATTCAAGTGGCTTTCATATCGATCTTTACAGTGTTGCGAAATGACCCTTGTACACAAGTAGGGGGTGTTTTATTCATGCAAGCATGAAACACGCACCTAGAACAATATACAGAAGTCGACCGTAATGTTAATTAAGTGATTCAGCGAATATTAAAATGTATCGTATCCCATTCATCCCGAAGCATTACTGTTGAACGTGGCTGTCGTGAAGAGCTCTCGTTATATTCTTTGAGGTGAGTTGTCATGTCATTCCCTATTTGATTTCTAAAACACACTCACTAACTAAAAAAAAACTATTAAAAATTATTTGTTGGTTCAAGGTAGAATCTTATTGGTATCTTGCATGAGTTTTGGATGTACAGATAATATCACTCTGAATTTTGACATGATATGATCACTCTTAGATATTCATAGCATTTATATGCAATTGTATTCATTGTAAGCTGTTCCAGTGCATAGAATCCTGTTTCTTGAGAACGGTGCAATGGTAGTACATTGAAGTGATATGTTGAGTGTTTCATTTATTGAGAACGATGCAAAACTACACTGAAGTAAAATGTTGAGTGTTTTTCAAGAACGAGGCAACACTACATTGAAGTGATATATTGAGTGTTTCATTTATTGAAAAACATTGAATTGACACATGTCGCGAATACATTTAAGTCGATCGATTCGACCGATCGGTAAAATGGATCGTCTAGAACAATATATATTTCGTAGCTTTCGAAGGTGGGATAATTGAATGCAGCATTATCTTAGTCGATCGACTGGAGTCTATTTGACAGTTTTGCACGGACATGTATCACGAAGATGATGCAGTCACTTCAAAATCATCAAAGCAAAAAACACATGCATAATGAAACTATCAAAAAGAAGAATTGCATAAACATTTCTGCACACTTACCTATATATAGATCACGACGATGTTTACTATTCGCCTACTGATCTATATACTTGCTGTTAATGGACTGGTGAGCGGTTTGCATGAGACGTCCTTGGTCTCTCGATGGGTAAGAGGATGTCCAGGTAAGAAGTAATTATATGATTACATTTGTATAGTCACTCACTAACGTTCCGATTCTATTTTCCGTACATGAAGTTTTCAATGTTTTATCATGTTAACTATGCCAATTTAGGGGGTGAGGTCAATTATTTTGCACACCACCACGACTTTTTGCTGTAGCCTGATCGACAATTCACTATAAGCATTAAATTTAACATTGAGCATTAGCCTCAAGCATGCATATCCTCAAGCATGTTAACGTGCTGACCCTTTACGCAACTGGAATAATCAATCATAATTCCTATAACATTCCAATCTTTCCCTGCCTCGACACGTAGATGGACAACAGTTATCTTGGATTTCAAGCACATATCACTGGATTAGAGGAACATCTGATCGTAAATGGGTACTGGAATGCGCACCATCTCCTCTCCGACTATACGCGTGCTTCTGGACAGATATAGTAAATGGTTTTGATGAAGACGTGAATTTCGACTGTAAAAAAGGGATCATCACAGGTAAATGAGTTGAATGAAAATTAGTTGCATTGACCTTATCCTTGTACGAATATTTTTTTCATGACCAGGAATGGAGGCATCTGGATATAGTCGCACAAGCTCTGATCGAAGGTTCGCGTTTAGATGCTGCGAGACAGAGGATTCTCTCGGGAATGAGTATACCACCGACTATGTGAATGGAAACAGAGAAAACTTTAAGTACACAGTGAAAAATGGAGAGTTCATAACAGGAGTGTACAGTCACCATACGAATGGAGCCGGCTACGAGTAAGTTGGAACTGATTTCGTAATTCAGAAAGTATATATATTTGGCCGGAATGGTAGTTAGTGTAGTCATATCATATGTGATCGCCATTGCTTTTAGTCAGGGTTGCATGATATATGGGCATGCAGATGGTAGCCTAAGGTCTCAGATTAGTGGCCTAGGAAGGTTTTTGCAAGCAATAATATTGACGTTTTCAATTTGTTTTGCACTTGGGTCAAAGTAATTATGCTTGTTTGTTTTTCCAGGGACAGGCGATGGAAGTTTGATATAAAGAAGAAGTTATGAATGGGTTTTTCTATCACACCAAGTTTTGCGGCAAGAATTGTAGTAGAGAACCTGTAGTTGGGATTAGTAAAGGACAGTTGAGTTTTGTTTGTCTGTTCCGTGCTTTTTACCCTACTTTTTTGTATACTGACGCACTGAAATTATGGAAGTGTTTTAATATTGGAATATGGGATTTTTGAAAACATTATATCGGCCTTGATTCAAATCAAACTCGGCACTATATTCACAATCGTCAAATTGAGAATTGAGTCATTCGTAGTGTCAGCCTTACCTTCGCATTCCTTGGCATCGCTTCCCTAGCTCCCTTACCTTTCTCATCCCTACTGTCACTATCGTGGTATGGACCGGGGGATAGGAACGCTGGAAGTACGCCTGCACCTTCAACTTTTGAGTAAATCTTTCATACATATAGAGTTTAATTTACTGCTATCACTGAGTGAAGCCAACGTGTCGGTTATTCACATTTTTTATTATACTTACGTGATTATATTGTGTCATTTTGTGTGTGCTCTTTCGTTGAATGATTTCGGTGAGTTAGATTTTCGCCTGCATGACGATTGTGCTAAGCTCGATAGCTGTTTAAAGCATGTAGTTTTAATCAACACTCCCAGTTCTGTCTTCCCTGGTTGAATGTAGCAGATTCAGAACAACTGGACCGATTAGTCTGTATTCAGACTATAGAAGCTCCAATTTTCTTCTCTTTTCGGATGTCTGTAGGCTATAATGTATGAACCATATCTCGGTCAATTACTGATGCTAAACCATTTCGATTACAAGTAGGAAAACTACGTGATACAATCAAAATAAAAGCATAGATCATGAGAAAATTCCTATTTCCTATGCCTATATTGTTACAACCGCATAGCATGGTACATTTTCTATGTTTATAGTATTTAACTCTGATTAGGTTTATGGTTGATTAGGGTCAGAGTTAGCCCAAATATAACCGTAATCCTAAGCTAATCTCAATGATAAATTCACGTGATTTGGGTTTACTAGGCAGGAATTATCGATAATGATAATCGCAAGTCGCGCGTCTTTGATGATATCTTGTGCCGCTGCTGTTTGACGATTGACGATTGTGATTGGCGCTTCCATAGTAACGAATAACAAATCATGTTTTAGAAGAATTTTTAAAAAATAATTAGTATCAGAAGGAATTTTAATGTCGGTAATGTCGGTTGTTCTTTTGGTTGTGTACTTGTGTTGTAAGTTTCCTGATAAAACCTTCAGAAACCTTCGCTTGGATTTGAGTTCGCTTGACTCTGATTTAATTCTAGCTTGATTCGTTTCTGAACGCGGGTAGTTTATTATTAAATGATTTAAAGCCATGGAATTTAAAGGACCCAAAACATATAAACCTTCATTCAATCACCCCTCTCCGTCGAGAGATGAGATGTGGCGAAGCGAATTGGGCTTCGAAGATGGTAAGAGGAGAGCTTTAAATCTTATGTTTATGAGTCTCGCTTGTAAAAATATATTGTTTTAATGTAAAAATATAAAACATTACGTGTTGCCCACCAGAAATCGCATCAAATTTCACAGATTAAAATTCCATTGTAGTGAAGAAACTTTCATTTCCTCCTTATAGCAGTTTATTAGTTTATACATCCTTTTTGTATGTTACACGCCTAATTTTCAACATATTTTGATATCAGTTATTCTGAATCCCTACATGTTCATAGTATGTAATGTATGAGACATTCAACTTTAATACTCCAGTCCAAGGTAGAGCAATATTATTAGAATATAGTGTTCCCCAGCAATCACTCTGACCTGGGTAGCAACATTCCTATAAATCTTTCCCCCATTGATACTCAATACTAAATAGCAAAATATTTTAAGTTAATCAGTGTATGTAGGCATATATTGCACAGTGTTAGATGCCTATTATGCACTGGAGAGGCAATTAATTATTTAGTTAATTTTGGCACAAATTATTTAAGGCAGTCTAATTACAAAATGTTTAGAATAGTATATAAGCAATTAAATGAACTGACTAGTTCTGACTGCTTGACAATTACATAACTATATGTGTTGAGTACAGATTTCTTGTTTATTAGATGATTCAACAGATGACACATCAGACGAAGAACCAGAAGTAGATCAGTTGTCTAACAATGGTAATTATAAATGTACTCAAAGTTTAATTATAACCATTGACTGTCAGATAGTTTCATTTATTTGATTATAACATTACTTAGCATTTTTTTACCTATGAATTCTAGTAATATAATTCTGCTAGTTCAGTATATATTAATCCTATGTAAATGGTGTGCATAATGTTTCATTAATCAACTGTTTGAAGATCAACCTATATATAAATATATATATATATATATATATAAATATATATATATATATATATATATATATATATATATATATATATATATATATATAGACTGCAAAAACATTCATTATATGGCATTTTCAAGGCCTTGCAGAGATATATTTAAAGCAAAATTCAATTTTGAAAGGTAGCTAGCTTTGATCCCTGCTAAAGCTGGTACAAGCATAATTTTCTTCAATCTCTAGTCAATGTGATCATCATAAGGGATGCATGCACATTTTAATGTGTGAGCCAGGGGTGTGACACCTATGTACATACCTCATATGTTTGTCAACTCACTTCATTATTGCTAGTGGACCATATATTGCTAATATAGTGCAAGGATGGATTTCAGCATGCTTTTGGTGTTGCCTGAAATTCAGGGGGATACACTAGTCACTCCCTCAAAAATGTTTTTGTAATTATACTCTGATTTCATGTTACCGTCAGCTCTACGGTTTCATGCTCACTTTCACAGTCAGATTCTGCTAGATGTGAATACAGCCTCGTACCCATGCAGGTGCTTTATTCGAAAACATAAAGGCTGCATTCAGCGTAATATAGAGATCTGTGGCTAAGATGTGCGAGCGCGCAGGGGTGCTTGGTGAGGACGCGGCAAATGAAGCTTGGCTCTCCTGTCGCGTCATCCCCAAGCACCCCTTCGCGCTCGCACATCTTAGCCACAGATCTCTAAATTACGCTGAATGTAGCCTAAGTTATGTTTTCCAATAAAGCGCCTGGGTACGAGGCTGATGTGAATATATGAAAATAGGCGGGTAATAATATCTGACGTACAAAATGTGGAATAAATCCGCTTCTTTCCATGCAATGCGTTTTCCAAAGTATATATATATATATATATAATATATATATATATATATATATATATATATATATATATATATATATATATATATATATATATATGATTTTGAATTTACTTCAATCCTTTGCCCACTTCACAGATTAGATTGTATTAAATGGAGAAAAAGGACTTCTGGTGGGTGGGCAAAATAAGATTCGTGGGGGGGAGGCATTAAGATCACGGACTGGACATCTTCAATATATAAGTTTGATTTGATAGTAACAATCATGGTGGAGCTACAGTCGCTTCAGGTGGAAATTCAGAAAAAGGACAAACAACGTGAGGATCTACTATTGAAACTTAAGGTATGCATATATATGCCATATTCGGGACCTGTTTACGCACTAGTACACATTAATTAATATATTAATACGGGCCAGCTAGTACACGCGACGGCGAATATATAAAAACATGCTAGTATTATAGCTAGTAAGATTTGAAAGTTTGGTTTCGAAATATAATTGAAAAGAGTGATAACACAGAGAATTTGATATTATGAACTTATTTAATATACATACGCGCGAATATAATTATAGCCCTGTAAATGTAATAATGTTTTTTCGCGGGTAATATATTAATTCACAAAAAAATTCCGAAATAAATTCCTACATTTCTCAATATTAGTGTAAAGGCCCGGGAATGGTCATTGTCTGCATATAATTTTAGTACTCTTCAATAATTACCACTATTCGCGGGGAATCAAACAGCGAGCGCTGTCAAAGTTTCGTACAACGGCCCGTTGAGTCAGCAAAGAGTGCTTTCATGTATACATGTCATAATGATTACTTTCCGCAACTGCAGGCATTGACAGACAAGACAGCCAGCTACAAATCGCGCCTCAACAAGACAGAGCAAAACAAAAAATCTCAAATGAAAATCATGAAAAGAACCCACGAAGTTTTCATTGAGCAAAAAGATAAATTGATTACAGATTTGCAGGAAATGCTTTCTGAACACGAGAAAACACTTGAGGCTCAAGGGGCAAAGGGAAAGAAAAAAGGAAAGGGAACTAAAGCCACCGCTGCGGCTCTGCCCGGAATAGATCGATTAGTCGAAAGCATCACGACTTTACACGAAGAGAAAGCGAAGCTTACCGAGTGCACGCTCGTTGCACAATCAGAACTAGAAGTAGCGAAAGAAGAGGCGATGGACAACGCATCAAAATATCGAAACCAAATCTCAGATTTACAAATCGAGATTAGGAAAATGAAATCTATTTCCGAGCAGGTATAGTAATTAGCTACATATGGTAACTGCATCGTCTGCATGTAGTTATATTGTCATGCGAAGAATCATTACGGGAGATCTCTTAGGTCTTCAACAACATGATGGGGCTGCCAGCTCAAATCTCAATATATTTTTCCAGGAATAGGAACATCGTAAAAATATTCGAATTTTAAACTCGACCGTCGATCGCGATCCCTACTTCACTGCTTTCTTAAGGGTGGATTAATTTCCACTTACATGCAGAGAAATAGTTCGCTAGCGAACTTGAATTGTGAGCACTGAGTCATTTTGAACTAATTTATTTATGCGGTTAAATTCCAAAGAAAATATTCAATTATTTCGATTGCGAACTATATCTCTGTTAGAGGAAATCCACCCTAACGGTCTCGTGCTATTTCAGGACGTAGGAAAAGAGAACATCGATGTCTCTTCTGGACGTATCGCTCGCCTTGAGGAGCAAAACAAGTCTCTTAGGCAAGAGAAAAAAGATCTGGAAAACGAGATGTGGAAAACCCAAGAGAGCTTGCGTGACGAAATCCGAAGATTGGAAGATGATGTGAGAACAACGAGTAAAAAGATGCGTGATGCCGAGTCAAAATATGTAAATCTTGCGGCAACACCGCCCAAAGTCCAGGTTCGAACCGTGCAAGTCGTCTCAGAAGAGTTGAAGAGAGAGTTAGAGGAAGCTGTCAGTCAAAACAGGAAAGTCGAAGCACTACTCGCAAAGACAAAGGCCGAACATAATGCAAAGGTGGGTGCATGTTAATATCCTGATCTGGGCTAGATTCGAAAGCTGGATAAAGTTATCCAAGCTTCGTGCAACTCAAATCACACGCTGGATAAAACGTATGCGTTGGTAGCGAGTTATCCTTTGGATAGCGACTTATCCACCTTTCGAACAACCGGCCCCAGATTGATTTATTAAAACATACTGACTTGATTGATTTAAAACCTGCGATGCAAACTGAAGCCCAACATTTAAATGAATTTTGAAAATATATCCAGTGAACAAGGGAGAATTTCGTAGTAGGCCAATCAGCATGTTTGCTTTCGTTTTCCCTAACCCAATCCGAATACATAAATTTTTAATACTTCCGGTAAAAAGATACATTATTCATCATTTTACATGAAGTATTAAAAATTTAGACATTCTGATTGGCTTCGCCTGAAAAATGTAGACAAATATATGCCGATTAGTTTTAAACAAAATTTCACCTGGTGTATCCGGTGTATTCTGAGATCAGTGAGTATATGCAAGGACAACCGTACTTACGACATTCTGAGTCCCTTAACTCAGTTTCTTGGAAATCTGTTGAGGATTTTGTTACGCTAATTTTTTTGTTTGTTTTAGGTCCAAGAATTAGAGTCGGAAAGGATGAATGAATTAACACAATTAAAGACGGAGCATGCTTCAATGGTGGGTTAGCCTGTTTTTCTTAATGAGGTCAACAACCTTATTTTCCTTTTTCGAGGTCGCTATATAGCATTGAAATAAGTGATAGGAATAAGGTCGACCCCGACACTATGCACACCGAATTTATGGTCACAGTGTTCATCGAGTTTTACCGTCTCACGGTGATCGTTCTAGTTTGGTGTGACGGGTAAATGTCTTGAGTGAGCATCGCGAAAATATTAAGAACCACTATACCGAGCGTGTTAATGCCCGCGTGTTATTAAATGTAACTGACCATTTGCAACAGAAATGTTTACCAATCCATTCTACTGAAACTAGCAGAGGGCACTCAAAGAGAGCAATTAAAAAACGAGTGTAGCAAAGAGAGCATGTCAAATTATATGGAATTATACTTTTGTGACAGATACAAGAACTAGAATCGCGACAGTTAAGACAGAAGAGTGAATTGGAACAAACAAAAGCAGAGCATAATTTAAAGGTACGTGTGTGCATGGGTGCCTTCCGGGAAAAAAGGGAAACAATAACGTTTCTTTCTAGAAGCTTGTATACGAATATTTTGCAAAACCCGCAGGATGGCAAGATTTACAATTGTTGCAGACAGGTGCATTAATATAAAGATCATTGCTTATATACACGAAGAACTAATCCAGGAATTTTTCTTCTCAATTATACTTTTCCAACACCTGAGCATTCAGAAAAAACATTTTAATTGCAATGAGTAAAGCCGGTTTTCCCTTAACTCATTTACTTGGAAATCTGTTGAAGATTTAGTTACGCTATTTTTTTGCTTAATTTGGTACAGGTCCAAGAATTAGAGTCAGAAAGGATGAATGAATTAACACAATTAAAGGCGGAGCATGCTTCAAAGGTGGGTTTATAATAGCCTGTTTTTCTTGATATGATCAACAACCTTATTTTCCTTTTTGAAGGCCCTTATAGTATTGAAATAAGTGATAGGAATAAGGTACCGAATTCTGCATGTTTTCCACATTTTATACATTTCCCAATCAGACTTTACAGACTTACTCTCAGCTGCTCATAGTATAGGTAATTTGGTTTCGGATTTTATTTTCGTACCTCATTCAAGATCCCATTGAAAATTATACTTTATCCTAAAAATTCAATCAATTAACCGATATAGGTTTATATATAGCACGTACTACTTGTTTAATTCGTGCATTTATGATAATTTATGCAGGTTAGCGAAATAGAGAGGGAAATTGCGGGTGTAAAGGAGAGATGTCGGCATGAAATTGAACGTATGTCTATGGAAAAGCAAGTGGAGATCGAGGAAGTAAAATTAGAAGCTGAGAGAACGACGGGCGGTCTCAGAAAACTGTACCGGAGTTTGCAGGTAATGCACACATGAATACAATACAGAAAGGATGCCCTTAATTATATGTACTTATTTCTGCTCAATGAATTTTTCCCCGAGAAGACACACGGTGTGTTGCTTTGTAGATTTTATAACTCTCGGTTAACATGCTTTCCACTGTATTATTAATTATTTTTCTGTGCAGGAAAATTGTCTCAATCTTATGAAAGAGTCGCAGGATTTGCGGAGATGTCAGCAAGAGCTCAATAGCGCATGTTCTACTTTCACCACCTCTCTCAAGCCAATATGCCGAGATACTTATAAAAAGGTGAGTACTATGTTTATAGTCAAGGTGAGTGTTAGAGTAGATACTAAGGCGGATTTCCTTTCAGTGCAAAATATCGCGCGATTGACTTTTTGCGATAGCTCGCTTTCCTTTGAAATACAGACATGCAATTAGATGGATCTTGCATGTCCCATACGTTATGCTTGACTGAACACATTTCGAAAGAAAGCGATCGCAAAACTTTCTGCAGTCCGAAACGACAGTTACATGTAGTTACGATATATAATATCTTAATTATTGCCAAATTAGATCATCGAGAAGTTAGCCGCTATCAGCGAAGATAACAAGGATCTGGAGAGACGATATATCAAAGAGATGAAGCTTAGGAAACGTCTTCACAATGAACTTGTTGACCTCAAAGGCAATATCCGAGTGTATTGCCGAGTGCGGCCGTTCATTTCCGAAGACGGTGTTCGAGCTTCATCCCAAAATTCGACCATATCCTTCGATCATAGTGATGACAGCGTTCTGAGCGTTGACAACAAGGGCACTGTAAAACATTTTGAGATGGAGAGAGTTTTTCAGCCAACATCAACGCAGGAACAGGTACGAGATAACATTCTTATAGAGAGCATATGAGCGTGTATATAAAAATAATTAAATATTTTCTTCGCGCTAAAGACTGAAGATTATCAGATCAAATGTGAATATATCATCGCGCACCCTTTAGAGGTCGTTCTTTCGCGTGTGTTTTATAAGATGATTTGGCCCGCCTAAAGGGAGATTAGGCCTGCATTGGAACCTTGAATATGGCTGAACAAGGAGGAATTTTTGTTTCAGACCAATCAGCTGAATTCTCTTATTTAGGTATTTTCGGAAGTTGAAGAGCTCGTCGTTTCATGTCTGGACGGCTACAACATTTGCATATTTGCCTATGGCCAGACTGGAAGTGGGAAGACGTTTACAATGGAGGTGAGAAATGACGTCATTGCAATTTCTAATATCGTTTCTGAGGGAAATGTGGAGAGGATTGTTTCAAGTGTAGTGGGTAAAGGGAAAAGGAAGATAAGTTTTATATTTTCTTTGTACGTACGGATTTCCTAAAATGAACCTTTGGTAAACAGGAGATTTCCATATTTTGTTCAACCAAGTTTAATTGAAAATAGTTTCGTTTGAGAGAACTATTTACCAACTTTTAATAGCTCAGAAAAATGCTTATTATACATATATGCAAACCATTTCTCTTTCGTGCCAACTCCAGTTATAAATAATGAACGCTCTCTTAACAATACATATACTATGAATTATGTGATGTCTAATTATTTTTTCTCGTTTTATTTCTTAGGGTCCTGCTGACAATCCTGGAATAAACCAGCGGGCTCTCCGCCACCTCTTCGATAGCATTGAGGCAAGATCGAGGGACTGGGTCTACTCGGTTTCAGTCAATGTCTTGGAGATCTACAACGAGACCATACGGGATCTTCTGTCGTCCGAGCAGACGCAGAAGCTGGAAATGAAACTCGGCGCGGACGGGCTCAATCACGTGCGAGGTCTTACAGATTTTCAAGTGGAAAATATTGACCATGTAAATGAGGTACATACGATGGCATAATGTTAATTCAATAAATGTTATTAACTCCTATAAAATTTCATTTTGGAACTCGTTTAATAAATCCCGGTTCTATTGGTTTACCTTTATACATTCTCTTTTTGGTCGAACACCAAATAAATTTCCTACTACTGAAAATCTACGAGTTGAATCTTGAGACTGGATTTTCTAGCAAGAGACCGAATGCTGAAAATTTGCATGACTATACCGTGGAACTGAGAACAGTCAAGTTCAGACATAAATACTTGTGAAATATAGTGGAAGTGTATTCAAATACCATTCTTATATTTAAGCTGTTCACTTTGGGCAAAAGAAACAGAGCCACAGCAATTACAAACATGAACGAACACTCCAGTCGATCTCATGCAATACTACGTGTAACAGTCAGTGGTACCCATGAAGCAACGGGAACAACTGTGACAGGTAAACGATGCTTTTTTGGATTTGTAAATTGTCTCGTTGCCGGCATAGTAAGTATTTCGCATTGATTTCTTCAAGCACAAACTTTAAAAATCCGTTAGCTTATTTTAAAAGAAAATGTCATCTCAGTGAGGATGTGATCTCTGCATAAAACCGAGGTCGTATTTTAAGATGATGCAAGTATTGTTTGCGAGGGCCTAAGAAGTGACAAAAACCATGTGTCAGAACTGTAAACCTCTTGCTTTGCGTGTAGGTAAACTCAACTTGGTGGATCTGGCTGGGAGTGAACGTGTTAACAAGAGTGGCTCGGAAGGACTGAGAATGAAAGAAGCTCAAAATATAAACAAATCCCTTTCGTCCCTCGGTGACGTCATCCACGCCTTGAAGAATAAACATGGTCATGTTCCGTACAGAAATTCAAAGCTGACGTTTCTTCTTCAAGATTCGTTGGGTAGGATAAATGTTGTATTTCTAAAATTATGACAACCCATTCTGGGTCGCGTTACATCTCAACTATAGAGTTCGTGTCCAAAAAATTTAAGCCATTTTGAATTCGGAACCAATTCGCCGACCCGACTTTAGATTTTACCTTTAAGGCCCGTTTACACTTACGATTTTTGCTGCGATTTTCTTCTTTTGACAGATGTGAACGAAAAATTAGTCACGCTGAATGTTCAGATTAATAATAGCTCTTTTTGAACATCAGTAACTAATTCGCTCATTCGCATCTATCAAAAGAAGAAATCGCACATAAAATCGCAAAATCGCAAAGTGTAAACGGCCTTTAAGAATTAAGAAACATTGCCATCGGATGACTGCAAATAAGCCTGCCATGCATGGCGTAGCCGGCCTGACGATTTTGTCCCGCTATGTAAATTTCGACTTATTAGAAGTCTTTAGAAAATTATTGTTTTCACAGTTAATGAACGCCAAAATATTAGCATAGCGGGACAAAACTTCAGGCTGGCTACGCTATACTGATTGTAGAAATTAGCCTCTCTTGCCAGAGCAATCGTGCTATTTTAGTGGGGATATTTTAAAACAACGCACTTACTAGTAATTTTTTATGTGTTTGAAATTTAGGTGGTGATTCCAAGACACTAATGGTCGTTCAAGTCTCGCCAGCACTTAAGAATGTTGGTGAAACTTTGTGCAGTTTAAATTTTGCCCAACGAGTGCGAATGGTGGAATTAGGTCAAGCAACGAAAAAAGTCGAGTCTGGTGAACCGAAGGTGAGTTAATTAAATCTTTGTTTGTTTAAATATGATCCAGATGTATGAATTTACAAGCAGTTTCGGTAAAACATGGTGAAATTTCGTTTTAAAATTTAGTCAAAATGGGTTATTGAAAATGTAAACAAACTTGCTGATTGGTCTAAAACGAAATTCCTGGGTAACACTTTAGAATATATGTCAATAATTAACTTTTCAGCCCGTTACGCCGAGCAAATCCAAGAGAAATGTGACGCCAAGGAGGTAACAGGCAAGGTAAGAAAGATATAATAGAGAATAAATTAGAATCTGGGTACAGCATATTGACCTGAGTTATACTAGATACGGATCATCCGTTTACGCGAACCTGGGCAAGTAAAAGATAGTTCGTCTTCTAGTTCGTCTGTGTGTAAACACGGGCAAACAGACGGATCACCCGTCAACACGAAGTATATAATTCGTCTATTTAGACGAATTTTAAATGATAGTTCGTCTTGACCCACCATCCGTCGGATAGTATAAATACGGGATTGGGACGAACTACGGAACGGTGTGCAAACCAACTCGCAAACTCGCTGCGTGTGATTTTATATCATCCATATTGTTTTATCCATTGTTCAAGGTTAAAATACGTAAACATCTTAGTTTGAACTTGAACAAGTAATCCAAAATTTCTTTAAGAGTGTTTTATTTAATAATAAAAGAAACTTTTTACCCCTCATCATCATCAGGCTATGTAATATTTAAAACACGCGAAGGTGCTTTTTAAATTTCGTATGAAACATTATATAAAGAATACTTATGAACGTGACAAATTATATAATATTACCGTGCCAACCTTCATGATACTTAACCACATATAATGTCATCACTGTTGTTCCAGCTGTTAATCTTCGAATCATATTTTCCTTTGTACTTTTTTCAATTGCCGGCTGGTCAAATTGGGTTTTTCTAAAACTGAATCATACCTTCTAAATTATTTGTTGTCTGGTATTTCAGAATCCTGACTTTCTAGGGGAATCACATACGAAAACGGTCGCTGTTCATTAACCCGCGGTGGAATCCGGGCTTCGTTGTCATTGGCTACCACGTAGGGTCCTTCAGACGTGTAATCGGGAATTTCGTAATAGTTAAGAGATTTATAGTCATTTTCTGGGTCACGATTGTGTTGCAAATCCGTGTATCCCTCATTATCCAAATAGTTGGGATTGTTATTTTCCGGGATTTCCGCCTCTCTGACTCTGTCAGTTTCTCTTCTTCTTCCTTGGGATGTGATATCGGCAGGTCTTGGAGACCTTATCCCGCCTGGCCGCCGCTTCTTGGCCACAAGTACGACTATGAGGATGATTAGTGCCAACAGAATCATTGGAAGAAAGATGAAAAGGGCCGTACTTCCTGACATGGAGTTGGAATCTTTGTCGGGAGATCCGTCTAGCAAGGAAAATACAATTGAATGTAAACCTTACATTTTTCTCAGATTCCGTACAAGGGCCAGTTGTTCAAAGCTAGATTAGCGCTAATCCTGGGTTAAAATTTTAATCTAGTGTTTTAGTTTGTGTGCTTCTGTACCACTGTTCGTTTTAAAGCTTTAAAAAACATGACTTCTATATCGGTCCAGAAAATATTTATGAAAAAAGATATTCAACTTGTGAGCAAGCGAAACACGCGATTAAAAAAATTAATGTAAATATTTGCTTTAACCCGGGATTAAGCTAACCGACTTTTGAACAACCGGCCCCTGCCTGGTCTTTAAATACGATGAAGAAAGAAGCTTTTCTTTCATGATGGTTATTACTTGGAAAAATATCTGCGATCATACCCTTCGCTGGTTTCGTCGCTTCCTCGTCCTCCTTTGTTGTTATTGCCGTGGCTGCAGGAAAAATATCTTTATATAAAGTATAAACATGGATCGCAACAACCTCGCAGGCAGGGCTCTTCTACCTACGCTCTCCCGCCCGCGCCAATAGCTTACCAGAGTTTCGGACATTTACGCTCTTTGTCGTAGGATTCGCCTTTTTCGGTGATGTTCCGGTTATATATCCTGGAAACGTGTAAAATGAGTGGAATAAGGTATACGCATTCAGCAGTACAATAAATGCTATACGTATACGGATAACAACACCGGATATAACCGGCAGGATGCTGGCATGCAAAAAACGAGATCATACAGATTGTGAGAGATAAACTTATACAGATATCTAATTATTGTTATTTTATGGTGGACTTCAACAGTATGTGCGAAACGTTGTTGGGTATACTGTATATAGCTACAGTCGTTATCACATATATGCTTGTAGGGGGTTGATCGAGGTTTAGTTCATTGAGACCCTTGATGTATAATATTAAAATTTCATTCAAAATGTGTTACCATGGGTAGAATAGCAAGAAGGTACAAATGTAAGGAACGCGGAACTATATTCGGGAAGCATGCATATATAGATTAAGCCTCTTACAGACAAGCAAGTTTTCGATGACAAGTTTTTATGTGGCAAGTTTTAATTGTTTGTCTGTACGCCCAACTTTGACAAGTACACAATTTTTCCTATGACAAGTACACTACGTTGTCATTGAACTATGCTAGATCTGGCTGCCACTAATAAATATTTTAAATGTAAATGTTTGACTTCAATATTTCCTCAAAACGTTATATAATCCTGTACTTTCTGCACAAACTTGCGAGATAGGGTAAGTCATTATAGGCAATTGAGTTTAAGTCCTAAAGTTTTCTTAATATAATAGCAAAGCTTTCGGAAAAAACAAATATCTGCCTTAATAATTACATACTTGTTGTTGGGCTGTGAGTGTTCGTGATAACTTTGGGCTTCTCGCATATCCATGCTCGCTTCTTGTTACAATCTGTGTTATTCCAGTAGAAGGACTTCTTCAAAATTTCAGCACAATTCTCATTCTTATCGTCAGAAGGTGTTTTTTTCCATCTCTTAATAACAAATTTATCCCCATTGCTCCAAATCCATTGACCAAGCTTAGATGTCCTATCAGAAATGTAGTCAGTACAATGGGTGGTTAGGCAATACAATAATAGCTTCAAAGTTGTCATATGCATGTGCATGCTGAGCTATACTAGGTTCAAAACCGCGGCAATGCTGGAGGTGCGCAGTAACCTACAATTAAAATAAAAAATCATTATATATAGCTAGGTTTGCTAACCATGACGTAGTAATTATGGTCCTATTCAATCCAATCCAGAAATTGTAATTCAAGTTCTTTGTGTGACCGTATACGAATTTAACTTCTTCTTTAGTCGTCAGAGACACTAAATCAGCTCTTTTTCCCAAGCAAAACGAACGAGCACTTTTCCAAGTAGTTTGTTCAGGTTTATAATTCGAACCGGGTGTGACGAATAGATAACACCAATTGCCAAAACCTTTCCATTTATCAGGACATTTTGCTTCGACGGGGACAACTGTGAACGGAAGTAAAAACACTTTTATTTTTGTGCATATGCAATGCATCTGAAGGTGACGCTCACCATGGTCGTGATGCGATTAAAATGAATGCCTCATGTTGTGCTAACCACACTGTCGTCAAAATTCTCCGGTCCTTTCGAAAGTTTGTGACCCTGGCTATCGTTCCGTTTACCGTGCGATTCAAAGACAATGCCGAACGTGTTTCAAATTTCGTAACGTGGGAACCGCAATCATTTCACTTCGAAACTAAAAGCCACGGTGTTTATTAAATCGCACATGAATCCAGGTATCAATTCAGATATTTGATATGATTATAAAGGTTATCTTCCGTTAAAAGGTTTACGGTAGAAGTAGAGAAAATTACCATTATCGCCTTGCAAACACATTTAAATGACTTATTTTTTAAAATGTTTCTTGTGTTTATTGCACAAGCCAATATATTTCTTTGTTTCTTTCTCAGAAATATCGATTAAAAGGCAGCCTAAATACTAAAATCAACACTTATTCTACTGGAGTGGGCTCCTTGATGAACAGTTTGTCTTTATTTATCACATGACGAAAAGGCGTGTGAATTATACACACAGCATGCAAATACCAAATCTTTACGAAAATATTTCATTCGTGGCCGCTATATGTATATCTTGTATGTCAGTTATAGAATAATATCAATAGAAAGAGGAGGAAAGCATGGCCGGTTTGTTTTGACGATCACATGCCCTCTTTGTGTGGCATCTGCAGCTTACTTAACAAAGGTTGCCTTTCTAAATTAAGTATTAAACCTTATAAGCCCTGCATGAACGTCACGAGGAAAGATGAGTTCTTGCAAATTTAGACTCGTTAACTCGCAAATCTAGTTTTGTGTATACTAGTTATTCACCTTGTTGATTACCAGCGCTGGGTATCTTTAATATTTTGACCCTCTGATTAATAGAGGAATTAAATTTCTTAATAATATCGAGGGGGGGGCGAGGGAGTTAATTACTTGCATCTATAACATTATATTCACTGTGCATGATCACCAGCGTGCAGTTCGTTACGGCCGATTTGTAAATGTCGAACCTTTAAAAAAAGTATACATAGTTGGTACACATCTATACAACAATTTTGCACTAGACTATATATACATTATATGAAATGTCAACATATCCTATAATGAAACTTCGAGTGCTGACTCCCTCGCTCCTCCTGATATTATAAAAATCATTGATATGGAGTATATATGTCAGTTCAAGTTACGATACGGAATTCAGTGTTTCAGGAAAGGAAAGTCATATAAAACTGTTAGCTAGAAAGCCAAAATATCGAACGCTATATTACTATATCGCACATAAAAGAGGACTGCATGATGATGCAAGAATTTCGAACAATATCGAATAGGTATCACTTACCAGTATTAATTTTGACCAGTACTAAAAAGATAAGAAAAACTGACCACGTGCCTTCTACCATTGCGGGTAAGCCGTCTCAACTGAACTATACGAACCTTGCCAACCTTCGATTAAAATTGATAAATGAATGCATACCGATTCACTATCTGAAAGCAATTAAGGTACTTGTTAGATAATTGATGCTTATTATATACAAAAGCGCAGGATATAAGCTAACGTGCAATCTGATTGGCTCTCTATATACTAGACAGATATTAGCTCATATCTGCATGTCTATAGTAGAGTAACCTAATGGCGGCAAGATTTGGGAGGTTAAGCGACGATGAAATTCAAGTTTTCCTTGATAAAATCACACGAAAGTGCACCGAAAGGGCGACAAACTTTGAAACAAAAGTATTCAACTGAAGGTTGAAAATATAAGTTTACAAAATACGGTTTTGTTTCTGTTTTTCTGTATTAAACCGTTCGAAATAACACGATTTAATTATTCAATTTTTTAAGAAAGTGTGTTCACTATATTGTTCAAATATATATATATATATATATATATATTATATATATATATATATTATATTATATATATAATATATATATATATATATATATATACATGTATATGTTGTGCCGCATAGTCCTTCGTAAGACGATCTTGGAGAATTGGTAACTGAACAAAAGCTAAATATCTTCGAACGAATTTAAGAGAGTCAACATGAATAACAAATCTTGGCATTATGCACATTTCACAGGTCTAGCAATATATATGTATGAGGGCTATATATAGGTGTTCACATTGCATGTCTTATTCAATATAGAATAAGACTGTTAGGAAATTGTTAGTCGGGAGAAACACAGTTTTTTCATCGACAAGGCAACTGAACTCTATTATTTCTACACTATGCTAAGAATCGGTACTCTTTTCTACGTCACAAACCAATATGGTGGAGCAAACAATATGGTGGAGCAAAAGTTCGCACAGGAAGTGGCAAAAATCGCGACTTTGGAGAGCTATAAAAATCTTTTTGAAAAAGCCAATTTTGATTCTGTTTTCAGAAATTAATCAGGAAAGTGAGCACTTTAAATTGAGCCAATAAAAAAGAGGTCGAAAATTTCGTTGCAAGAAATTTTCAAGACGGATGTCCAACGATTTCCCATAAATTTAACATATGCATGCTGTACAATTCACGTGATCGATATTTACGTATTTATATATATTTCCAGGTGACAACCTTAATGATAACGACTATATATATATACATATATATATATATATTATATATATATATATATATTATATTATATATATATATATATTATATATATGTATATATATATATGTAATTTCAAATAACGGCTAGCCGTTTTGTGGACGTTCTTACAAAGAGATTAGACATTAGTGAAGAAATGCAGCATATTAAAAGATATAATTAAGTTGTTTCATGTATATATAAGTAATTTTGTTCAATAGACATTCTTTCGAAAGATTTGAGAATGTGCTGAATGTAAAAATATTGAATATGAGAATTATGTTTTGAATCTCATTCCTATATTTCGACGCCATCTTGAAAGAAATGTAAACAAATTGCCGTCAAAATGACATACCACAATTTTTCACGTGTGAAGAATATCGTACGTCCAATCAAAAGCCGTGTATGGCATTTTTTCACACGTGAAAAACATCGTACGTCCAATCAAATTGCATGAAATTTATTTAGACAGTGAAATACGATTTTTATAAATCTCTATACACATATAATATAATATATATTATATATATATATATATATATATTATATATATATATTATATATATATTATATATATTATATATATATATTATATATTTATATATATATATTAAAATATATATATATTAAAAGATATATTTTAGTTGTTTCCACCGAGGAATGCCGACGTGCGTGAGCATAAATTTTTGACACAAAACCTACTGCGATATAAAGCTAGTTTAAGCATACCTTCAATAGTTGATATTATGTTAAGGCCAACCTGCTACTATAACTATATGAGTAATCCACAGCACATTATATTTACATTCTGTGCAAATAAACTCTACATGAGCTATCTAATGTGGAAATTCTTAGCCATAATCTGCTGAGGGGATCACATACGAAGAACGCTGGTTACGAAGAGGTGCGGATATATTTGGTTCATTTATATAGTTATTATGACTATCGTTGGAAATCACGTAAGGGCCATTATAATCCACATCTGGGGTCTCATAAAGGTTCAGGGATGCGTAAGCGTTTTCTGGCTCCCGATTGTGATGTAATTGTGCATATCCGGCATCATCGATAATCGTGGGATTCGAGTCAGTTTGTCCGCCCAAGTCTTTTTTAGATATTTTTTGGCCGTCGTCTCGATGGTCCTGCTTTGAAGCCTTTCTTTTGCTGGATCTCAGTCTTTTCGTGCGCACAATTACGATTATGACAATTATCAATGCCAACAGAACGATGGGAAGGAATATGTAAAGAGCTGTTCTCACGGAAAATACGCTTGGATTCTCGAATGTAGTTTGACCTATATGAATGACGGAAACAGATATAAACTTACAATCATTGCATGCCAGGGCTGGCTTTACTACAGATTCGATGAGCTCGAGCCGGTGCATGGGATACACAACTAACACAAGTGAAACTTGTAATAATTTATATTATATATATAATAATTTATATTTTAAAGACTTGTGATAATTCTTGTCTCGGATTATGTTGCATGATGCCCTGTCCGCGCTTAAATTGTTTAAAAATGCTACCATATTTCATGTTTTAGGATATATATCTGACTGTGTGGCGATGCATGGCACATAAATGACATAATGCTTTTATTATATACCTTTAGTTGTACTTTCTTTAGTTGGCACAATCTTGGGAAACACTGTAAAATAAATCGAAATTGCAGGAATATTGAATTATATAGAGACTATAAAAAGGGAACTTCGAAAATGTCATTTTAGGTTTTCGTTTACCTTTTTGCGTTGACGACATAAACGATTCTTGGATATTGGTGTATTTTTTTGTTGACGTTGTTATCCTAAATGCTAAAAATATGACGTCGAGTTCACGTATAAGTTCAAAGAGTAGCCTGCATGATTGTTCGTTAAAACAATCACTATCAGAATTGACAATTCTTGGGAAAACTGTTTGTGCGTTCGCGAGGGAGTTAGGCTTTACTATACTATACTGATTCACTGTTGAGAATGCGGTAATTGTTAAGTATAACTGCGTTACTTATTGATTGTGTGAGTGTATGCGATATACAAGTGTAAATTAAAGATGTGAGGTACGACTTGTGATAATCAGTCCACTACCGGATGATGTCGTTGCATTCAAATTTTTCTATAGAATAGTCTAAATAAAGTATTTGGTAAAACAATCGTAGAAAATCACTGTAATACTCTCGCGCTCAAATTGTTTAAAAATGCTATAGCTACCATGCATACTTCATATTTTAGGAAGTATCTGACTGCGCGTGCATGAATGCAGGCATAATGCTTATATACCTTTAGTTGTATTTTCTTTGGTTGTTTCAAACTGAAGAAGCGCTATAAAATAAGTCAAAATTGCGTATTAATCGATTAATATATACGAATTAGAGACCAAGATCGTAGCTTCGAAAAGGTCATTTTGGGTTTAGATTACCTTTGAGTTTCTGCAATGACGGAAAAGGATTATTGATGCGTTTTGATTTCTCACATATCCACGCTCGCTTTTTATCGCATTCCTGATTCCTCCAAAACATTGACCCTTCTTCTATTTCAACGCAGTGCTGGTCTTTTAAATCATTTGGTTCTTTTTTAGACCATTTTACGATGGTACGTTTATCCCCATTGCTCCAAACCCATGCTCTGTCGCTCGATAATTTCGTTCTGTTGATTTTATTCAGTCCAATCCAAATATCTTTATTGATATACCACGTATGATCATACAAAAAGCGAATCTCGGCTTCAGTTGTCAGAGAAACTAAATCTGCACCTTTCATTAAGCAATGCGAACGAGCGTCTTCCCAATTTTTTCTTTCCTGCCGCACGAACAAATAACACGAATTGCCAAAGCTTTCCCATCTTACACCACAGGTCAGCTCTATGGTAAGGACTGTTGATGAAGAGAAAACGTTTTGTGTTAAACGTGATTAAACGCTAAACGTGCATGATTTTCTCATTCACGCGTACGCCGGCTGACCGCTCATGCAGTTTTCTTTCTGTTATCCATATGCATATGAATTGCATCTTACTCTTATTTTCTGTCAAAATTTGTAGCAGTTTTCGATTTGTGAGAGCAAGAGGAGGGAGGGTTGAGCGAATTCTATAATGATTTCATCTACTATATCAGCTACTATATATAGTCTATATGAAACGAGTTGCTGAAATAAGCAATCGTGCGAATTATAATTCACCATGCACAATCACAACAATGAAAATTAAATGAAATTAATCGATTTTTTTTATCAATTAAACCAAATGATGTTTTCAGCATAATATATTTGGACCTTCATTTCAGAAAAATTTAGGGCCAGGGAAACATCAACCTTTAGAGAATTTTTCTCTGTTTGTGCAGGCATGTAACTTCAACTACGGTATTCCACTTACCTTCTCGGACAAAAATTAAGATAGCGTAAACCGACCATATTACTTGTACCATTGTGTATCCTCGGGAACAGGCGATGAATTAGAGCGGGGTCGTCGATCAAAAATCTAATTCTCTCTCTCAAGGACGGTAAAATGAACCCAAACAACCTGAGTACATTAATAATATAATACCTATACTTGTAAGTTGATTGGCATAAACTTCAATTCCAGTCAAGGACGCTCTTAAAATCCATTTTCCCCCGCGCCCAAGAAAAAGCTATCTAATTTCCTTTTAAGTGCATGGACGTTAGAGTACGAGGACTTTGTAATTATCTGGTTTAAAAGGCCGGAAAATAACACTACAACTACATACATAACATACATAATCTACAATAACATACATACATACATAACCGTTAACTGAATCAAACACGGTTAATAATATATTTTTATGAAATTGAAAAATGACTTGAAGGAATTTGAAGGCGTTGAGAAACTATACTTCGTCCGTAATCATAACTCCTCTCGTGGGTTTGATCTCAGAAAATCATATAAGAGCAGTTGTATTCATGCACATGCACTTATGTCATTATACAAAGATCTATCTATTACATAATCAAGTGCATAACTACCACCCTATGTACCGCATAGATCTCATGCAATCATTCGGCGCAATATTGGTGCTATAACAACACGTAACTACGAAATATGTTGTAAGAAATAGTGCCAAGATGTGGGCGACGGAATATGTAATGAGTGAAACATTTTTTTTCCCAAGCATGATTTACACTTCTGTAATTCGCTGTGTAAACAGAAAGTTTTGGTTTGCCGTGTTTTTACATTAACGGTTTGTCTATATACATGCATGGGTTTAACTTTTGGAGCACTTTTTCTGTTGGCGCAGGCACGCAACTTCGGTATTCCCAACTTACCTCCTCGGACAAGAATTACGATAGAGAAAACCGATAATATTACTTGCACCATTGTATATGCTCGTATACACAGTGCTATAAATGAATGCGATGAATTAGAGCGGGGTCGTGGATCGAGAATTAAAACCTCTCTCTCGATAAGTTTCAGTGAATGAACACGTATTATATAAACACGAAGAAACCTTAGTATACTAATAATATACACCTATACTTGTAAGTTGATTGGCATATAGTTCAATTCAAGTCAAGGACGCTCTTAAAATTCATTTTCCTCCGCGCCCAAGAAAAAGCTGGAAGACCGGAAAATAACACCACAACTTGAAAGGCCGGAAAATAACACTACAACTAGTTTTTCCTAGTTTTACCGAAAATATACATGCATGATCGTTAACTGATTCAAACACGGTTAATCATATATTTTCATCAAATTGAACTATGACTTGAAGGGAATTTAAAAGCGTTGAGAAACTACTTCGTCGGACATCAACTCTTGCACGCATGCGCAACCGGACATCCTATAGCTCTCGTGGGTTTGATCTCAGATGATCATATAAGAGTCGTTGTAATCATGCGTTACAAATCTATTTGAATACCACCACCCTATATTCTATGCCAGAGCGATATATATATATATATATATATATATATATATATATATTTTATTATTATATAATATATATATATATATATATATATATATATATTTATTTATATATATAGAATTTAGAAAGTATTAAAAAGTGTTTAGTATGTAGCATTAATGTTCCAAGTCGCGATTCCTAGCGAGCCGGTTTTATGCGCAAAACAATACATGTGCACACACGCGTTTTTTGTGGGAAAAGGGGTTTGGGGGAAACACTTCTATAAGATGTAATTCTATATGGTCAATCTTTCACCCCAAAGTCTCGTTCTTAAATGGCCTTTAAATCCTTGTTCCAGTTTGTAACGGTTTTTTGTATTTCAAAATTGAAATGACGTGATCGACCAATCAGAATCATTTTTTATTTCGATTATCCCAGAACCTTCGTTTTCTCGCCAGAGGAATCGCGGGCTCGGGGAGCGAGATTGGTTTTTACTGTATAAAGAAAAGCGCTGTATAGTTTCCCCCAAGCCCATATTTAAACATGGCGCAAATAAATGACCCATTTTTTTTCAAAAGAGGGAGTTGTATTCTAAATTTAATACAAAATCTGGTCATCTCTCAAATTTGACAAAATCCTTGTGATTAAAATATATTTGTCTTGTGAAGTATTACATGAAGTTATGACACTGTTGTATCACACTAGCTTCAATTTAAGTAAAATTTCGCATGCATGTACATGTTGATAATATGCACATTTATTTATATTTTGATGTTCTGTTTCTCTACCTCAAAATTCCAATTCATTTTCTCCCAAATTGGCAAAGTATGAATCGACTTTCTCTGTGGTGACAGCGCGTAATGTGCTGGGATTCCACTTTGGCTGTTGATCTTTGTCAATTAGGACTAAAGAAAAATAAGAGAACGGCTTTAAAATTACTTTGAGTTTACGGCACAGAACCTCGGCAACCAATAGTCTAATGTTTCTGATGTTTCTAAGATCACAATATCTTGCTGGAAAATTCTTCAAAAAATGGTATTCGGCCAGCACTAGTAACATGCATAACTGGCATCGTTCGTATTTAAGTGGTAGAAGTCAAGCTACCAAATTTGGAAATGTCTTACCGGCGCGAATACCTTCATAGAAATCCTTGTCATTCTAAAAAGAAAACATATAGGTAATAAAGTAAAAATGTGAAGGGAAAACACCAATGTCTTTACTTCTGAATACGAAACGCAAATAGATTTAAAGCTGAAAATTAAATCAAGGCATTACATGACTCCCAGAAGAACCTGGTTTCCGCAAACACTTCTGTATAGTCATATTTGAACGGCACGTGTTTATTCATGCTTTGTAATTATCACTCACCATAAATCGCTGAGAAAGGCGATATTCCATTATCAAACATTCAAATAGAGTTCGTAATTTTGCTCCCTCTCTAACATGTTTTAAGGTTACTTTCAATGATGTCGGCGACTGGAATTGAAACAAATTGCAATACACAATATAAAGAATGCATTAACAGGCAGAATATCTCATGATTTGATATGAAAATTTCACAATTTCACATCGATACTTTAGGCATGTAAGTGCACTTCACATTTACTACGTACTGTAATTCATATTTTAGAGGAAACGGTTCGTTTAAGTCATCAAAATATACCAAAATACATAATATTATAAACTACCATTGAAGTTTTTCCCTTTTTAAAGGTATCGGTCTGTAACAATATACTAATTATAAGAGCATATAATACACAAAAATGCATATTAATAACTCACCATACTGTTAATTGTCTGAAACGGAAAACAAATTCATTTAAAAGCAGGCAGAAACTCACAGTGGATGAAAGTGAAATAGAATCCAGAGAAGTTTTGAGAGTTGGTGGTCAAAACAACGATTTTGTTGTATGTCGAATTTGATAAAACACAGCAAAACAATTTGTGCTGTTTGTCAACTTATTACGCACATCTATTTTAGACATTGCCCAATCCGTTCCTTCCTTTTCTAATTCATACAAAATGTCCTCCATAGATTCCTTAGCAAAACATCTAAAAGAAATAAGAACATCGGTTAGCACAAAAATTAATAAGCTTTTAGCTGCATGAGGGTCGATAGACATTGACAGAGAAAAAAACGACGTATAGCAATGGTGAAACACAATATGTTACTTCCACTATAATTAGGACATGCACAATGGTTTGCATATGACGTCATAATCAGCCATTCGGCGCCATCTTGCATGGTTGATTCCAAAAAGTTTACTTCTGCTTTTCAAGAGAACAAACTGCGTTGATTTACTTTTTCCTTGTTTATTTTGTAACTGCTTATCATCTCTGTCGTATTATTGGGTGGGTATTAAACACGGCAACGATGAAAAAATATTTGTGCACATGTTTTGAAAAACCATGCAACCTAAATGGCGGCAATAGACCTTCTCGGTATTTAAAACAAACGTCAAAACATTTTGACATCACAACGTTAAAAATTAGAACCACTTTAAATGAAATGGATTTCAAGTCGAAATGCATCTTTGCACATAGCTTGTGATAGTAAAACTTGAAGCCAATCTCATTTAAGGTGGTTCCAAATTTAAACCGATAATTTGTGACGTAGTTATCGAAAAGGTCTATTGCAAACCACCTATTGTACTTGGTGCATGCATGATACTGGAAGGATCGTATGTACCGCGTTACTTTAACGATAGCACGTAAATCATTCAAAAATTCAAATGAAATTGTCAGCTTCGTGACAATACTCGAACAACGCGAAAGAACATGTGTTTGAAACCTGTTAATGATTTCCAAATATGGAGATAATGAGAAATCTGTTGTTATCTTTGACACACTCTGAAAAAACAACACATGAAAACAATGTGTATCAGTTGCAGATGTTGCCCCAAATTTTAGGGTTGCACCAGCCGCGAAGTTTTTATCTTTTAAGTTCTGAAAGTTAGGTTTTGACGTCGCGGACGGAGGGTTTCACTTCATCAGTATACTTGCCTCTTTGTGATATTTTCGATCATTTCAAGGATCGTTTTCAGTGTCGGTCTTTCCATGGCTAGCATGCTCTCCTCCAACTCGGAAATCTGGAATAAACCGTGTTAATGAATAAACAGCAACCTTAGCCGTCCAATCGTGAAAGAAATTTTCGATTGCATGTGCAACTAAGTGCACTGAATCCAGTGGTGGATTTACAGTATAACCTATAAACCATAGTCACCGGTGGTGCAATTGTAGTCTTACTGAACTGAAACATGATGGTGGCATTAAAATATGCACATTTATATGAGGCAGCAAGTGAAATTATGCCGGCTATCCCATGCACAACTTTCTCCCGCCCCGGAAAAAAGTTGCTGGATCCACCGCTGACTGTAATTCTCAACAAAATGCAGTGACAACGAGTGATACAGTACCAAATGACAGAAAGAGAAACGCATGCGCAGGGTGGATATATATGCTAGAGGATTCAATCATCACAGACCTTGTCTGACGAGACGTAATGCGTTGCAACACCAGCATGGTGAACGTCGTAACCTCTCAAACGCTCTCCTGCAATGATTTTCGTTAAAAAAACGATGGATTATTCCGATACGCGTATTATCCACATAAGGCGTCTATTGCTATCTCCTCGCGGTAGAAACTTGACTAATCTGCTTTTACATGAAACCATTTTGGGACAAGAACGAAGGTCAAAGTAAGTTCACAGAAGGTCAAAGAAGACCAAAATATTGTTGCTATCTAAAGAATATTTATTAAATTATGGTCAGTATACTGCATACCCTACCAGTTAATGCCAAGAATGTACCAAGTTCGCCTTGGAGCTTTGGTAAGAAAAAACTACCTCCGACATCCGGAAAGAAGCCTTAAATCAAAACGGTTAAAAAAGCGAATTGTTATATGCATCAGACTCGTCTTTTAGTAGACGACTCCTAAACGGAGGAGCAGAACGAAAAGGAGAAACGGAGAAACGAAAGAAAAATACATGTGATTGGTTTTAAAAACACGCTCGCCATAAATAGGTATAGACTACAATGTTTTTTTTCCATAATTAAATCCAGTAACCTTTCCATTAAGGTAATACTATCAACCAATTCTTTTTTCTTTCTAATACCCGGTAACCACTTTTCACTCCCTACCTATGGCAGTTTCAGGCATTGCAAACAACGTTCTTTCTGTGCCAACCCTAAAATGACCATGGACTGAGAGGCCAACACCCTAAAAAGTAACATATTCAAGACATTTTAGACAATTTTTTTGTTGTTGCGTGTTTTGAAATGATATCTTACCCCTCCCATAGTAATTCCATCAATGAGAGCAACGTAAGGAGTCTTTAAAGTGCCTGCAAAAAAATAACGTTAATTCAATGGTGTTGAACACACTCTGTTCTTGGCACCCATCGGAGAAAGTACTTGTCAATGAGAAGTGCTTATAAGAGTTACACAAAAATATAAATTTCGCTACTGTCCTACATAAAATACATATGGGGGCGTTGAGTCCAACAATCAGTCTGATTATTTTCGCATATTGTTCCCTGCATGAATATATTTAATCGGTAAAAGTTTCGCATTACAGTTTATTTTGGTCATTCGGAAATCCTGTATTGCATATTGTCGTGACAGGGTAATGAAGGTCGACATAATGTTGTGGCGAGGAATAGCTCACCAATAGCATTGTTAAGTTGGTACTCTTCTTTAAAGAAATCGCGTCGCAATGTTCCACCAGTTCCAGAAATGCCCTCTTCAGCAACAGCTGTTAAAATAAGAAATGAGATAAAATAATATTATATATACTTATAAAGGCTGGTTTTCGCATTTTGAATGTATTTCGTCGTAACTCCCATTGGGTTATTGCAAACCTTGTAAGCAATTAAATCGACATTATATTTATAGCCCGGAATGCTATAGCCTGTGCACATCCTGTAGTATTAAGTACAGCGTAATACTACAGGATGTGCACAGGCTAGGAATGCTACGAACCTGGAAATTATTGACATTCATAAAAAAAATAAGGAACATTGATCATGCACGGACCGGTTTTCTTTTAAATTTCCACAGACGCTAAAGTCAAGAGGTAATGACCATTAAAGTACAATTTCTCTGGCATACTGTACCTCTGACGTCTCCCCCAGCGCAGAAAGCCTTATCACCGGCACCTTTTATGACAATTGCTCCAATATTTTCATCTCTCTCCCAATCCTATTTGAAAATAAATACCCGCTGATTTTTTTCAACAGATCTGTCATCCGCGCGTAAAACAAAGCGGCAGGATGAAAGAGCGATTTTGTTTGGTCATTGTCTTTCAACTGTCGCCAATTTTCATGTTTATGCAGGAAGCCAATATAATACATAATATATAAAATCTTAAATAAGCGTTGTTAAAAATTTCGTTTGATTTCTTGAAGTGGTAAAACCTTAACATAGTGCCTGTGTAACACTGTCTAGAATTACATTTAAACCTGGCCTTTCATTCTATGTTATTGTCCACTTTTGTGCCCTTTTCCCAGCATAATGAAGATGAAAAGAGGCCAATATTATGTGTTTGATATAGCATGCCAAAAGTAGAAAACAAAACATTTGAGAAACTTGTAGATAGAGCTTTAAATGAAAGTATTAACTACATATAAGAACTTGTACCATAAGCAATGAGAGGTAATAGGGATAATGACCAAAAATGCTCTTTCAATATCAGTGTTGAATAGTACGTGAGTGGAATAGGTTGAATAGAAGTGCCAAATCAGTGTCTGACTTATTTCTGACAAATATGACATTGATCATCTCAAGCAAAAGGATTTAAAGTACCATCAATGCAGGGTGTATCTTGCGAACCATTCCCAAATCTAATGAGTTCAGTGCCTTTGGGCGATTGAGTGTAATCAAGCCAACACTTCCTTTTACTTCCAGTAGGACATCCTATTTTATGACAAAAATATTCAGAAAATATAAATTAATGTTAGGCTCTTTTACAAGTTAAGGATCATGGCAAAATGGTCCCTTCATGTGCAAATGAATAAATGATATTTTGCTAAATATAATTTTGGACTTCTACTATCAGTTTTGACAGTACAGTGCTATCATTCACTTACTTCAGAACTATTTGAGAGCATCCTCTATACGAAGAATACAACAAAACCAATCAATAAAATTTATATATATGTATATATACAATTTGATTTTTTTTCGTATAGCTATATTATATAATGCTTCATTGCAAGTGGTTCACTGTAACTGACCATGCCAAATATCATGGAATTAAGAATTATTCTACAGCTAAGAAAGGAAGGTGATACATGTATACATATTAGGTCTTTGTACGAACAAGCCATAATTGCACCTGGCACGAACACTGCAGTGATTTGCAAAGATTATGTTTATAGTGCTAAATAATGCCAAATTCAAATTAATGTGATTTTATTATCCCTCTTCCAAGGAGTGACCTGCATGTAATGATGCACCATTGGACTGAAGTATTATGACTTCATTCTCTATAGCTTTTGAACATATGAAATAATGGGGTAGGGGGGGGGGTCAAGTCATACACCTGGAGTGATAGATTGTTGAATATAAATGCATTTTATTGTATATAAAATACACATGCTTGTTGAGGCTCATAAGGAGAAATGTGTGAGGGGCACATTTGAAAGACCACCTTGTTTTGCGAGGTTTTCCCTAATTCGAACTCATAATCAGGATGTTGAATCAGCACATGAGGTCAACAATAGAAAAACTCGTAAAAGATCGTGGTGGAAATCTTGAAAATGTATAGCGTGAAAAACTTACAATGTGGTTGGTGATCATATTAACTCTTCGGCCAGCGGCATTCCTGCTCGACATAAGAACTCTGTTCCACCTTACAACACATGCAGTATAAAATATCGTCATCATTTCGATCAAACGCGTATCTCTTCCTAGAGCCTCTCCGGTAACTCCAAAATCTTAATACAGGGTAACAAAGGCATTTAAAAGTAGTACTTACATGACTAAGATTGTAAATAGATTTTTCCTCTGGAGCGTGCAGGTTCAAAGTACAATATTTAGTACTGTATCAAAATCTTATTTATAGTCTATATAGTCTAGAGACTATAGAATTTAAAACTGGAATAACCAGTTCGCTACATTTTACTTTTGGGGGAGGGGTGAGTGAACTATAGATACTCTGATTCATAGATTTACATCGTTTATCGTCTAATCAAATGCGGTATACGGTGGATATAACCTGATATAATGCGGTGCATATGATTGTTCGTAGTTTACGCGCAATAAATTTTGAAGTCTGAGTTATAGCTTTTCTAGAAAATCGATTAATTCGTTCATTCATTACCTGATATTTGTTGCAAATTGTCAATACAAGCCGACACTAGGTCGAGCCGTGGACGGAAAAATCCGAACGTTTCCGTAGCTCGCCCGACTAGAATGAATCACTAGAATCATCACAAAAAAAATTACAAAAATGGCAAGTCCAAGGACACGTCGAGTTTTGAAAGAAATTAAACCAAAAGAGGATAACAACGTAAGAAATGACTTTCAAGGATCCCGGTCTGGATGAAAATAACATAATGATGTTGAAATTTTTGTTTTTAGACGTGTTTCGAATGTGGGGGACACAATCCACAATGGGTCAGTGTCACCTATGGCATTTGGATTTGCCTCGAATGTTCAGGGAAACATCGTGGTTTAGGGGTTCACATAAGGTTTGTATTTATTTTTTTTAAAATATAGTTTGGTTACTTTATTTTCACCGTTTGCCTGTGCTTTGATAAAAATGTATGTATATTTATATTCAATATGTATATGAATATACCGGTATTCAAATATTTTTATTAATAATGTGACTATAAGAGACCAAATATGTATTTGTAAAGTTTACCGTAACTTTTATGTAATATATTATACTCACTGTGACTTTTTGGGTTGCTGGCTACTGTGTAGGTAAATTTACCAAGAGTAGCTTTAAATCAGCTTATCTTAAGCAACAACTTTATTTGTTTTAAAAATGTTATAACACACATAGGCAATTCTTTGTAGATGACAAGGTTAAATAGGGTCAGTAGGTTACTATCCCTAGTAAAAATTCACTCAGAAGATGATGCCAGCCACAAAAAAATGCCCATTTTTACAACCTTATTTCATAATGATAAAGTTCCAATTGTTTATTCATTAAAAATACTCAGTTCCAGTCAGTGGCCACTGTATTAAATTACAAATCTTTTCCCATGTTGATATGGATTTCAAGATTTTATATATTTTTACATGGGCCTGTTTTCATAGTCTGTTGTCAGATAACAGTCCAGATCTATCAGTTAAGAGCTGCATTTGATGTGTGTAATTTTTAAAACTGCCTACTGTTTCCCAAATATACTTCATACAGTAATGTATGGTGAATATTTCTTTGAACTAGTTTTGTGCGTTCTGTGACAATGGACAAGTGGAAGGATGTAGAATTGGAAAAGATGAAGGTTGGGACTTACTGCTGCTTAGAGGTTATTTGTGCTGAATTGCGATTCTAGCAAATATATTTTTTACTTCTGTTATAAAAATTACAGGTCGGAGGAAATCGAAAAGCTAAAATCTTTTTCAAATCTCAAAAAGACTTTAAGCAAACTTGGTCAATACAAGAAAAATATAATTCAAGAGCAGCAGCTCTTTATAAAGACAAGGTAAAAAGTTAAAAAGTTTTATTCATTTATGGTAATCTGAAGGTTATTTATTTGAAATTTACTACTTGTTTTGATTTGCACTATGTATGTGAAGATATGTGCTCTTGCTGAAGGAAGAGCATGGTCAGAGGAGTCATCTTCTGCGCGTGATTGGACACCACCAGTAGCAAATAATTTTACAAATAATTTATCACATGGAAATTCTGAAAAGTCTAAAATGTCTAGTACTTCATATAAGGCTGGTGGATCAGATATGGAATTGATGTATGGCTTATCAAAGTAAGTCCATGCTCTCTGCCATTCAAGATGTGCAATTATTGTGTGCTATATGCTTTCCTTTATTTCACGCATGTGTACACAATTATTTCATCTGTTTCCTCTCTGAAAAGTTAGCCACAGGGCCAAGCTAGATGAGAATTTTTTTGGTGTGGAAACTAGAAATTTTACATGCAGATAATCATCAACCTGTCGCAATGTTCATTAGCTAGAACAAGCTGCAACATCCTTTAACACTGTTGTTACAGCCAGTAACTGGTGTGAAACAACTACTCATTTTATTGATCAATGGGTGCCTTTTTCTGTTACAGGGCTGAAATTGATTCACAAAAGAATCAGTTTTTTGAAAAGAGAAGACAGGAAAATGCTTCCAGGCCAGAGTCAGTAATTGAAATACTTAGTATTGATATTATTTAAGTAGTATGGTTTATAGTGCAATTACAGATAAATATGCACAAGTGAGAGTTTGCAGTTTCCAGCCACAAGTGATATCATGTTCATCAGTAATTCCACAAGAAATATAAAATTGTTTGTTAACCAATGTGGCATGCAATTTGTCGCCCTTGCCCAATATTACATGAAGAAATTAAGATGCAAAAGTTCTATAACACATTTTTTAAACGATGCTGCCATGACATTAGCACTGTCAAAGGGTTGAATACGTTTGGAAATGCTGATTACCCTTGTGTGTTTAATAATATACTGATCAATGACAATGTTTGGTTTCCATCATCATAGCCCATAGGAGATGATAGGTGGATGAAATTTTTGTATATTAAAAAGAATTGTGTGTACATTTACAGTGATCTGCCACCAAGCCAAGGTGGAAAGTATTCTGGTTTTGGCTCCACACCAGTTAACCAAACCAACGAAAACCAATCTTCTGGTAAGTGTGCTGTACAATGAAATGTAAATGTATATGTTATTGTGATATAAACCACTCGTACATCTGCATGGATCCAGCTGCAAATTGAACTCCTCACAACACCAATTCCCCGCCTTCTGACTGCTAAAAATCACTTTTTTTTATTATAGCTACGTAGTAACTACGTTTCTAATTTCGAAAAACCCCTGTTGGTTGCGACTATTCAGTCTGTTGTTTTAATATTGGCAGTAATTACCTCATGTATAAGAAAAAAACGTGTAGCTATATACGGTAGAGAAATGTATATGCCAATAATGGCAATATAATACTTTCACTGTGTGCAGTCGAAACTTGAATGGTCTGTGCAAAAACACATTCAGCTATATTGCCTAGGTTATTTTGTCTTCTGGCTGTGCATTCACCTTTTTGGTTCTATATACAAACGAGTTAAAAATGCATCATGTGGCACTTATCGCATCGCGTATTCTGCTCGAGTAATGAAAACATTTGTTCAATATAGGCTGGGAAACCGCATTATCATCGCTATCAATGGTGAGTGGGATATCTGTCACGGTATAAAATACATCGTCTAGAAAAATTGTCTTTGCCCCAACAAAATACTGGCTTTACTTTAAATCCTGTATAATATATAAGACTAAGATGACTATGTAAGACTATATATAGCAAAGTGGAATCAAACACCAATAGTATTTACACTTTGGCCGGTTAACTTATTTTAACTAAATCTATCTTTTCATCTTTTAGGGCTGGAATAGTTTTGCTGTTACTGCTACTGAGATCGCAAAACAAGCTACGGAAGAGGTTTTAAATGTTAATTTTGTTTCAACGGGGATTTAGTTTAAAAGTGTGAAGAGTAGACTCTTCTCCGCACTGTTTTTTCTTCGCTCTTATTTAAGGTCTAGAGCCCCGTTTACACTACTATCAATTTATCGGTTCGGCACGGCTAAAATTTGTACCCGTGCCCAATTTTATTAGTGTTCAGAACAAAGGCCGAGCACAGATGAAATGGGCACGGGTACCCATTTTAGCCGTGTCGTGCTATGAAATCGAGTGTAGTGTGAACGGGGCTTAGGTTATTCGTAGCATTTCGGTCGGTTCGAATGTAATTCAAACAAAAGATGAGATAATAACGAGGTTTATTATCTCATTACCTATATTGTTTGGATTGCATTCGTCGCGATCAAAATGCGACGTATAACCTAAGCCTCACTTTGATAAGAGTTTAGGGTTTGGGTTTTTTACATCTCATGATATCAGCCTGGTTTCGATAATTTGAATGCGAAACAAATACAAAGAAGCGAAGAGAAATCAATCGGCCACTGCATGGCATCAGAAATTTTCTGCCGAAATTTATCCATAACTTTGTCCATTTAAATGTATTAGCTGAAGCTAAGTGGGGAAAAGTATAAGGGAAAAAAATTCGCGCAGATGTAATTCGCGAAATGTAACCACCATTCCGTCAGAAGAAATGTAACAAATTTAGTTTCAAACGAAACTCCTCCTTGTTATTATACCCTGGCCATCGGGGTTTCCACAATTGAAGGAAATTCCCTGTAATAAAATAGCAAACACAAGAGAGGGTGGGATCTCTGTTGATATGATCTATTATGTGCAGTCTTTTCAAAAGTTCTTTGTCTCTCCTTTGTCATTACTATCCCCCTATATGAGGAAAGTCATTCAGAAGTTCGTGTTATATACAATCCCAAGTTAAAAACTCTATTCTTTGTTGTTTAAAGGCTGTAAAAATTGGTGGCGTCGTCAACGAATCTGTCCTGAAGCCAACAGCAAATAAGGTGATTATCAAATGCCCTCGCATTTCGTGGGATATATGCATGTTTTCTTAATCATGTAATTCATGTTGGTTTATTTCGTAGGCAACTGAACTGGGAAGTTCGGTGAATGAAAATCTGAAGATAGTTTCAAACAAGGTTTGCTCGCGCAAAATTTTTCTTATTAGAAAAGAGTAAATTGCCAATTAAATATAAAACAAGTTGGCGACGAATATGCAGTCATGCATGAGTGATGGAATGCTCTGATGAAGTAAAACAGTACATTAGCACATTTTAGATTTATAAAACGATTTTTGAATTTGTTCGATACCAGCAAAGCAGCATGTAAGTCTAAATCTAACGATAGGCATTTTGAGCCTGGTCTATAGAGCATTTTTATTCGTTCCTTATTTTTCTTGTTTCTCAAGTTTTTTTTTGCATTTGATTATTAATATGTGGGTGCAGGGTTTCGCTGTTGTTTTTTCGAACCAGTGGGTTTTGTTGTCTTTGGCCCAATAGATGTATATAGTATAATTGTATAAAATGATCCTTTGAAACCGAATATCTGTTTTTACTGCTACAGGTGCAAGATGGCACATTGGTTAACGATTTCTCTACATCAATGTCTGGCATTGCAAGCAAGGTTTGTTTAGCTTACCTCGTGTTTATATTAATACATATACATCTATGTGCTAAGGACATGGATAGTGGAATGTGATCGAATTCAAGAATTGCAATTGCTTAATTTAGCAAATACAAGAGTTGCCATTTTCGTATAGAGATGAGAAAACTGTATGAAAACATTCACGTTTTTTATTGGCGATGTAATTTATCAACTCGATAAAATATTCGATTTCATATATTTTTTGTTTATCATCATGGTATATTTATTTTCTAATGGTAATTATTCGGTAATGGTAATTATTACCGTCACACCATATAGTATTGCGGGCTCAAAATCTTCCGCTGGATGGCCAGTTCCTTTATGGCTGATAAGAAATAATCGTTACGAAAGCTTTGCAATCCATGAAGGCTTGCCAGCATCGTCTACTTCAATTTAAATATTTTACTTTGATTATGTTCTATGAATACTATTCAACATATTTGCATAACTTTTTCACAATACCCTGTTATCATAGCAGAGATTTTTATCAAGCTATTTCGACGAACATAAAACCTTCGTCCTGGCTTTTTGGATTACAATAAGAAGAATATAATTAGTTTATGTATAGAGTATTGAGGGTCTTTTTCCACAAATGTCACACTAGCTGACTCAATTAAGTATGTTTTGTCGCTTTATTTAATGTAAGCAATAAAATTCAGCCCTCAAACTACTCTGCGACACTTAGCTATTACCCTGTGATTCTTAGGTAAAAACCGCCAGTGTGCAAGGATGGTGGAATGTACAATCGTACTTCGCTCCTACTGAAACAGGCACAGATAGTTTGAAAGAGCAGCAAACAGGTGTGTCTTATGGTAGTTTAGATAAAACTACAGCCGGGAACACTGAGCATGAGGCTGACGAGTGGAACTGGGATCATGAACAGATGCTGGATGAACCGGAATCCGGCGAAGATAAAACAAAGGTCAGTAAAACGGAGTCGAAGGATGATGATGGCTGGGATGATGCCGAATGGGGGGAGGCATCCAGTTGGAGTAATGAAAGCTGGTCAACAAATGGTGATATCAAATCAAAAAGGACTAGCAAGAAGGGTGATTAGAAGAAATTTCTGCTTTCAAATTAAGGTATTTCTAGATCAAACGAAATATAATATCAGTAATATAACATCTGCTCAACCATGCTCTTGCAATGGGAAGATAAGCCTATATTTCAACTCAATGTGATGAGTAGCCTTCGTGGCACTGGCTTTATCATGTACTGAAGTTTACGATAACTGCATGTTTTGAATTACATCTCTATAGAAATTATCAAACAGGTTTTTAATGATAATAACATTACACATGCAAATATAAACATGGGTAAACGGCTTTTATAGTCCCCATTGCAATCACTGCTTATATTTCCTATCATGTTCTTTAGTATACACATAAAAACTGACAAGTTTGAACAAAGCCATCTCATCTTATCCACCTTTCTTTGATTTCGCCTCTCGAAATTAAAAAATCATTTTAACCTCTGGACCCCAACCTGACACCCTGGATGCCCGACTATTGTTCAAACTTTATTTTATCCCATTTCCATGCGTATAAGTATATATGATTGTATTTAATTAATATAAAAGAATATTAGTTTATTTTGCAAATTACATGTATGTATTATAAATTAATTAAATGGCCTGGTATTAAAGTTACAGAAGCGTTTTTAGGTGGGACTTGCAGAGAAATAGTTCGCTAGTGAAATATTTGCATACTTTCTTTTGAATTTTGACAGAATAGATAAATCAGTTCAATTAATCAGTTCCGCTTGACTCCTTTCATTTCAAAAGAAAATATGCAAATATTTTGCTAGCGAACTACTGACAGGGTGTCTCAAAAAAAACGCAACCACTTAAATATGCAAGACATTAATACAGCCCTAAAGCACAAAAGATAACCACCTCTGGGAATTGAAAATGGTTCTTAATCCTTCATTCAAAATGTCATTTTAGCTAAACTATGGTGCAAACCCGAACAATATTAATCATTCTTGCCTATTTAAGTGGTTGCGTTTTTTTTTGAGACACCCTGTACAGTATAATTTCTGTGTTAGTGGAAATCCAGCCTATAGCAAGAAAATATCGGCGATTTGCGAAATATTACAATCTTACAACAACTTTATCTGCGTGAAATCGCCTTACGTGCATTTGCTCAACCTCGTTCCCAGGGCATTTCCCTTTTTGTCAAAACTGCGCGATAATTTTCGCGCGGAGCGACATTTTACTTTTGTTTCAGAGCTCTCAACTGCGACTATCTGGAACGAATTGCTCAAATACAAAGAAGGAAAGTCGCTTCGTGCGAAAAATATCGCTAGTGGAAACTGGCTTAAGGTGGTACACCAATATACAGGTATACTAAGATACGGATTCATGTGCAATAACAGTATTTTCTTAAATGCGGCAATAGATGTTCTATGCATTTTGGCTGATCGCCATATTTGTTAATTCTACTAATACTTCCCTTGACAAGGAACCTGCCGTACACATAATGTACGCTTGCTTCGAACACGCCATAGCTCGGAAGCGTAACAAATGATATCTGATAACTACAGCGATCTTTCGCTCGGATACTACTGCTAGAAAACTGTGGTTCATAACCATCTCTTCCCGACCTGCGAAACCTGAGCACATGCGCAGCCGGCATCTCCACCTCTGCTCGGTTTAATCTATATAAACTAAGTCGTGAGCATTTTTTTGCCCCCAAATGCTCTTTAAAATTCAGCTCGTTGATATGGTCAATTGCTGACAGCGCAGCTTTCTGTAAATGGTCGTGCTGACTTTCGACTGCTGACCAGTGCACACACGGGCACCAATGTTCGGGAATGTTTGCATCTTTACATGAACGCTCCAGTGGTATTTCAGTCAGAAGGCTTATTGCGTGTTTGGGGCTCTCCGGCTTCTTGGGGTACTCAAACAAATGATTGAACGTCGCGTAAACGTCGAACCAACTTGTCAATCGTTGTGTATTGGTCTTCAGATCCCTTGCTACTTTTGGGTATTTACGCTTGAACCATCTTGGAAATGTCATGGAAAAAAATGGAAGTCTTTCCTCTAACTTTCCTTGCAGTGTCTGCCTGAAGTCACCAAATCTCGCACCATGGTCACCTAATACTATCAGTAAGGTGTTATTTAAATATCCTTTTCTGTTGAACTCCGTCAGCAACTGTAGTAAATCATTGTCCATTAGTTGTACGGAATTAAAGTCATCATGTGATAAGTCAGCTATATAAATATATGTATGAAGGGAAATTTTACTATATGGCTGGAGCCGGAATGAGGGCATTTAAAAAGGCAAAAGTGTTTACAAACAATATTTCCGCCTTAATGTTTTACCTGGAAAGTGGAAGAGGAATTTCTTTCGTTCAGGATATTGTTCGTAAAATTTCCTTGTGATGTCCAGATTGTAATTATATATTTTCTCGCTACCATAACAATGTGGATTTCTTCTGGAATACGTTGCACTGTGTGCTGCCAAAAGAAATGGCCGTGGGTAAAAATCCGTCGGCGGATCCTGAAATCCAAGAAGTCTGTATTGAAAAGTTCCAACTTTTGGCATGTCTTCACAGTACGATGTCACATAACCGTGTGCTAGAAATTTGTGAAAGTAATTTCTTTTTAAAGGCAGTTTAACCATCGGCATCGATATATCAATAAACCTGGATCGCGCATTACAGATGATAAGCCCGTTTTCCACCAGCTGGATTGATATCTGAAATCCGGTGATGTGATTGGTTTGCGAAAAAATCCGCCGCGAAAAAGTAGAATCCTACTTTTTATCTGTTCGCGTGAATAAATTCGCCTATTAGAAAACAGGCTTTAGTACGCCCACGGATTGGAAAGGCAAATATTGCATGATACGAAATTAAATAAATTCTTTCTGTTTTATTGTCCAGAAAGTTCCATTGCCTTCTGATCTGAATTGGCATTAGGAGTTGAAACCGGACCAGTTGCGTGGCTAGAACAATAATTGGGGGGGGGGTGTTCATTCATTCAATATTACGTCCTGCCCGACGGTGTCTTTAGTATGAATAGCCCCCACCCGAAATTATCGTTCTAGCTGCTTGGCTGCGCCCCTGAACCGGACATGATGACATTTACTAGCAGCCAAATACAGCGGAACGAAAGGGAAAGATTTTGAAGAAGTATGAAGCGAAATTTCCCGGCTCATGAAAAAAACAAATGGCAACCCTATGTGGCCCATCGTGTTACCTCACATTTTATCGTATTACGAATAGCCAGGCGCAGATATAATTTTGAAGACACGTATTGTGAGTCGCCATACATGAGATGTGCGCATATATATATATATATATATATATATATATATATATATATATATATATATATATATATATACAGCTGTAGTGATAGAAACTATCGTGAAGATAGAAACTAGCGCATACAAAATCGTCTGGGTAGAGTGCTCAATGCTAATGCAGAGCGACATAACACAAGATGAGAAAACGCAGGTTACTTCATCGAAATTTTATTTACTACAGGACTGATTCGTATGACAAGCTTATAGCTTGCCACACTCGTCAGGTAAACGAGTGAAGTTTTAACAGCTTATAGCTTGCCACGAGTGTGGCAAGCTATAAGCTTGTCATACGAAACAGTCCTGTAGTAAATAAAATTTCGATGAAGTAACCTGCGTTTTCTCATCTTGTGTTATATGTATATATATATATATACATATATATATATATATATATATATATATACATATATATATATATATATATATATATATACATATATATGCTTTCTATTATACCTTTGGCTTTTTTGAATATCCAATTCCAATCATCCACAGGCTTGGCTTTTGGTTTTCCTCGTCTTGATTCTTTGTACTCTTGTTCTCCTTTCCCCGTTAAAAATGCTGCTAATTGCTCCGTAGTACCATCCCCTACCACGCTATGTCCCATAAATATGTATCCTTTAAGAACATCACGAATATAGTTGTAGGATTTTGGAAGTTTTCGCTGTGCATGGCCATTTGAGATTGAGTCAATACCAATAATGAGGACATTCAGGTCTAGCTCGGATGGTGGCGATGGTCTCGACAAAATTTCCTCTCTTGGAATTACTTGCATCAGATATTCTTTCAACTCCTCTCCATTTTGAAGTTTTAACAGCAGCTCTATAAATTCATGACGCACAGGAAAGTTTCGAAAAGAAGTGATCGGAATCGGGTCGCTCATCGTAAATTTAAAGTCGTCGTGTTTTGGCCGAGTTATGTACCGGTAGGAGGCGTCTGTTACATCAGTACCTAGGAATGGAGCATAATATAGAATGAGTGCCAATTCTGAGTTTTCATTATAGAGAATTATATCCTAATTCCTGTTTTAATGATTTACAATAAATAATAGATTATCTCTTTGATTTCATTAAGATGATCTATATATATATAGATTTCATTGAAGATCGCTTGAGCGGAAATGTATTCTTTCCATTTTACCTTCTAAGCAGGGGCAGTCCTGCATTTCACATAAGAATGATATATATTTTTTCTGATCCCAAGGTAATCCCAAGATAAAAATAAAAAAATTCCTGTAATGTTTTACAATTACAGGGATTCAAGGTTTTGATCTCGAGTAAAACACATTCAACTTCTCTTGTTCTATATTGTTGCGCGTGTGCAACTTTCCATTTGATTGAATCTAATATATATTCAATCTGATTTTGATAAAATAATAATTTGTGTAGTTAAATTCATTTCCAGATTTTCTGTTATAATATGACGTTGAAATATTGGGTAACATTGATATCGTCAATCATCTTTTATACTGACACACTCCAAACCGTCCTCAAAAGCTTACGAGTTTAAACCAGTGTAAAATGTTGCCTACCTGAAATGTGTAGATATCCAGCAGTCAAGGTGGCTCTTTTTTTATTATTAGTTGCACAACGTAAAGGATCGTTTAAATCTTTTACAAGCTTCATTGCGTGCGGATGAAATGGATCGAGTTTCGGTAATCGGCAGGTCCCAGACCCAGTGTCTGACGCCGCGTTAGATAGATGATCATCGATTGGCAGTGCACAATAATTCTATAAAAGTATTTCGCGTTTAAAAAAAACCCCTGAGAAATTTAAGCTGCCTTTGCATAGCTATAGATTTGTATAACAACGTGGGAGGTGAAATTGGACCATTGAAGGTGGAATATGTTAATGGCCCTTTGCATAATGATCCGACTTATGATCCAGGTAACAAGAAGAAATACACTCGCTAAAAGGAGCATACTGAAATTAAAATAATTGCCAAGTTTGGCTGCAAAATGTGAAGTAGTACGGAAAATATAGCTATGCGAAGTAGCCAATTTTGTATACTTTTTACATTTTTAAATTAGTTACACGCTTCCGGCCGTAGTAAAAAAGTATACAAAATTGCCAATTCGCATGGTTATATTTTCCGTACTACTCCAATCTTTCGCAGGAAAACTTGGCAATTTTACTAAGTTTTGCATGCACTTTTCGGAAATTCCCTTTTTTTTTGCCTAAATCAAAAGTTGGTCTATTATGCAAAAGGTCCATTGACATTGTATTTGGGCAGTTCATCCACATCCAAGTTCGGGCAGTTCATCCAAGTTAAGCTGTGCTGTTATTGCTTGCAACTGTTTGTTCTTTCACATTAAAGCCCGAACTTTCAATTTTTTTGCGACTTCAGATGCATTCTTCTTCTTTGATATAGATGTGAAGGAGATAAAAATTTTATTATACTTGCATGGATTTATTATACTTACGTGGTAAACCGCATTTTCAAGATAATCCCGCGTTGCATTTAGGACGCAATAGAAAACCATAACAGCGACAGCAAGCTTCAAAAGCACAACACGACGACAAATCTGTTTTCTTAAAATCCGCATTCTAAAAATTGTTATTAGTATAAGCCAGCCTCGTACGCATGGCGCTTCAATAGTAAATATATGACGTTGCATTCAGCTGTTGTATAGAGGTCAGCTGAATAAAGCAAGCGCGCGGGGTTGTTTATGTACCCCCGCTCGCTCGATTTTTCTTAGCTGAACTCTATCGAATAGCTGAATGCAACGTTATATGTTTTACCAGCTGAATTATAAAATTTAACATATACGACACGAAAAATATATATATAATTATGATAATACGAAAGACAAATACAATAATATCAAGCCAAAGTTTTTGTTTTTGATAGGTTTTCAACATTATTTGTAATTTAAATTTTAAAGAAATAAGAACATTAATTTTTATTCTGTCGCTGCTGCGCGCACGTACTCGCCAGGTTGAGTTTAAATTTGCAAATGATACGCTGATAGATGTCGTACCTGAAAATATATCTAATTCAATCAGGTGCCAAACCTCATCCTTTCCATGTACTTGATAGAACATTTGCACTCATGGCCGTTATTCGGTCGAGATACGATAATTTCCAATATAGTTACCAAAGATAAAGGTAAATCTTGCTACCTTATAGGAACTGTTATTGTTGATAATATCGTTAAAAGCAGCTATATTTTTCTCTCAATAGAATTAGATATAAGGTGAATACAACACCCGTTTTGCATGACCTGTTTTTTCAACTATAAGTCAATAGATTTGAATATATAAACTACCCGTCCCGCATGTACCTGGAGCCTCCCTCTATACCTTCCCTTTTATAAATTTGTTATTTTACCGCGGACTGGGAGGACATCCATATATGACCGACACTGTCGCATGCATGCATCCGGATAAACAGCTTTATCACTATCCGCGCAAGTTCGTCTAAGTTTTGATTAATTTAAACTTCTCGCAACGACATGACTCTTTTGATAATAAAACGTTAAAATTATCTAAAATGAAAGTTCGGTAATTGTTTGATAAACAAAATGTTTTAGGCGATAAATTTGTTAACAGACGAGTTTAACCTTTAGCTTAAGTTCTTGTATATATATATAGCATGTATTTGAAGACACACAACGAAGTGACTCTTTTTTACCGCAATTTTGAGCCTACTTTTGAGGTGATGTTCGCAACAGCTTTTAAATGCCAATTACAAGACAATTTACATGCGCAAACGTTTTTCCGCGCGGTATGAATAAGAATTATTACATCTTCCCTCACAATCTCTAGTTTCTACGCTAGTTTCTGCCTTGCTCAGTCTTCTGTCTCAGAATTTTCCTCATCTATTAGCGTGGGCTTGTAACTAAGAAATATGGAGCCGTTCATATATGCAGACCACATGCATGCATGAATCAATGATTTCACACTGACTATATCTCATAATTGATCTGATTAGTTTTTGAATGCATGCATATGGTAGATATAGCCGGTTAGTGGAGAACATAAATCTCAACCTTCCTATTAAAATATAGGGATGTGTATTAGTCGAAGAATTATCTTAGAATGGCCAAATTGCGCAGCAATATAACCCGGAAAATGTCAGGTTGTGGTAAAATCGAAATTCGAAATACTACGAAAGCATGCATGCATACTGCAGATGCAAATGATTGAAGTACATATTGCTCAACTTAGCTCCTGTAAACAGGCATGTACATGTTTGATTTTATTTATTTTTTTCTAGCTTCTTAAGCTGATATATTCATACTTATACAAAGTCTTAAATATATAAACAGAACAAAACTGCAAAACTAAAGCAAATTTAAGACAAAATGCGCTGATGTTATCGTATTCTGAAATTCATTATTTCTGCATATATTATTGCTGCTGCATGGTCATTGTATTCAATGTATACATTGTATTCAAGTTACCCTGTAATAGTTAAAACAATTTGTATAATCTTGCGATGACGAGACAGATTTTTAATACTGTTAATCCCTAAGTGCTCCATCAAGATATTCTAGACATGCAAGCATGATAGTTCACCTGTCGAAAAGCCCCTGCCATGCATCTATAATATCAAATATATTCCACTTTTGATAGCATGTTCCGTTTACCTTTCTTGTTCGGGTAGTTCCTCCAGCAAGAATTTAAGAAAATATAAAAATGTGCAAACGATTATTAATTGGTTCTCATCACAAAATCTTACTGCATTGTATTACCAGCTGTTTCCAACACTAACCGTAGCTATACATGAGCTGATATATAGTGAGTAGCTCATCCAATCAAATTGCATATTAAAAGCTCATATTAATACACAGTATGTAGTTATATTATAAATACAAGATATAATTTGATGTGTCATTCAATCAAGACAATTTTATTTTCGAATCCGACTGGACTTCTGTCATCTTTCCATTGCTGCTGACGGCGAATTTTTAAATGCACAGTTACTTTGATGAATGTCACTGAACCTCTTTACAATAACAATATTCCCTTAAATGAGGTATAGATTTAGCTATGCATTTTGGTTGATCGCCATATTTGTTAATTCTGCTTATGCCGCCTTTGACGACAAACTTTCCACTCACGTAATGCACCGTAGCTTCGAATATGCCATGATTGGGAAGTGTACGGAACGTTATTTGATAACGACATCGGCCTTTTGGTTGGACTTCATCGTCGGAATACTCTGGTTCGTAACCATCTTTTCCTGACTGAGCAAACCGTAGTACGTGTGGTGACGCTGTTTCTACCTCTGCTCGAATTATTTTCGCTAGACTGAGCTTCGAACACTTTTTTGCGCTCAACGGTACATGAAAAATCAAATTGTTAATGTGATTAATTGCTTCAAGCGCCGCCTTTTGCACATGAACGTGTCTATGGTCAACCGCAGACCACTGCAAACACGGACACCAATGTAATGGTATGCTTGCATCATTGCACGAACGTGTCGCTGGTACTTTGGTCAGCAGACTTATACCATGTTTCGATTTCTCCTTTTTATTTCTATACTCCAAAATGTGTTTGAAGGTAGCGTGTAAATCAAACCAGGTTGTCAGGCGTTTAGTGTTTGCCTGAAAATTCTTTGCAGCCTTCCGATATCTCTCTTTGAACCATTTCGGAAATGTCATAGTGAAAAGTGGAAGCCTCTCTTCCAATTTTCCTTGCAGGGTCTGCCTGAAATCGCCACTTCTGAGGCCATGGTCACCAAATAAAATGAGAACGGTGTTTTTTAAATATCCCCTTTCCTTAAAACCTGTTAGGAATTGCAGCAAATCTTTGTCCATCATTCCTGGTGAATTAAATTCGTTATGTGATATTTCACCTATAAAGAATCAAAAGAGCAAAATACGGTGATCAGATTAGGGATCGAGTTCACTTGCTTCTTGCTGCAGAGCTTGCTTTCCCGTACTTAAAATGCTTTGCTATTACGGCCTCAGTGGCGTGGCTAGAACGGTAATTTGAACATTCATATAATTATCCAGTTCTGCCCGACGGATTTCTTTTGTAAATGTAGTAGCTTACAATAGAAGTCCTTTGGGCAGAACTGAATTTATGAATATTCACCCCTCCCCCCAAATGATCGTTCTTGTTATTCCCCTGATTTGCCTTGCACGTGGTTAGAAAGAAATGTCAAGCATACATCAGTTTTTCTTAATTCGACTTACTTGCAAAATGAAGGAGAAACTTCCTTTGTTTAGGATACTGTTCATAAATCTTATTTGCTAAGTCCAGGTGGAAATTGTACATTTTCTGACTGCCGTAACAATGCGGATTCTCGCTGCTTCTGGATTGATCCGCGGCTAAGAAAAATGATCGCGGATAATAATCCGTTGGTGGATCTTGAAATCCAAGAAGTCTGTATTGAAATGATCCAAGATTTGGTGAATCCTCGCAGAATGATGTTACGTAGCCCTTTGCTATATTAAGTATCATAGGTGTAATTTTTTTATTCATTATTACAAGTATTAGTATAGTTTCGAGTGCGATTTTTCACAGATAACGAACTTGCCAATCACCAGTAAAAAAATGTTGTTTTAACAATCTGTTTTTACAGAGTAATGATGAAGGCATTACCTTTCGCTTCCTTAAATATCCAATTCCAGTCATCAACAGGTTCAGCATCCATCTCCCCTCGTCTTGATTCCTTGTGCTCTCGTTCCCCTTTCCCCGTCAATAATGCTGCTAATTGTTCCGTAGTACCATCACCTACCACGCTATGTCCCATGAATATATATCCCCCGAGAACACTGCGTATGTATTTGTATGTTCTTGAAAGTTGTCGTTGTGCCTGGCTGTTGGAGACTGAATCGATGCCAATAATAAGAAAGTTTAGGTCCAGTTCTAACGGGGGTGAATCTCTTGAGAGAATGTCTTGATTGGGAACGACCTGCATGAGATATTCTTTTTGCTCTGTTTGGTCGCTAAGCAATAAAGTCAATTCTATGTATTCGTGTGACACGGGAAACAGGCGGGACGTTACTACAATTGGGTCACTCATCATGAATCCAAAGTCATCTTCTTCGGGGCGAATTATGTACCGGTATGCAGAATACGTGACATCCGTACCTGATAAAGTATACATGCAATATTATTTAAAGATATCACTAGAATTAAAGCAAAGGTGATTATAGATAACTGCTTTCGCTAAAGTTTATGATTGTCAGAGTACATTGTTACAACCGCAATGCTATCAATTAATGCAGTCTTCTCGTAGGCATGACGATCCTTCCGATTGGGATAATGGACACTATAGTAAGAGTAATCCACGTTACAACCAATTCAATGTTACGCAGGCTTACCCGTTATATTTAGTACTCCGCCACTTAAGGTGGCTCTACGTTTGGTTACACACTTTAGATCTCCCAGCTCTTCCATATAACCCATTGCGTCGTGGTGGAATGGATCAAGTTTTGGTATCTGACATGTTCCTCTACCAGAGGTCATGTTCAATACATAGCCCCCGATTGGTACAGCGCAATTATTCTAGATATTAAAAGTAGATTATAAATACATATACCAGTCGACACACATCCCAAGACAATTTAATGTAGGGTAGATCTTAGAATATATGGAAGCACGTTTACCTAAATTTCAGTTAGGAAAATCGGCGAGACGAGTAGAATTTATTCCATATTTTTACCAGCTAGTGTATACACTGGACATCATAGGCTATACATATACTGTTTTTATACTATATCTAACCATATCTATAATATGAAAATGGCAATTAGTATGGATATTATTAACTTCCATATTACTACTCTGGCGTCAGCGACGCAGTTGAAAATTCGCCTCGGTTTTGTTTTGTTTTTCTTTTTTTATTTTTCGTCGTCGCAAGTGTGTTTTGGCGCGAAATTTACTAGTATTTGAAACGTGTGTGTGACCGTATTTATCCACGTCACAGTCTTGTCTTCCACTGTCTCCCAAGAGTTGTGGTGCACAGCTTTGGCAAATTTTCCGATGCGCGATTCGATTTCGCTCGCATGATACGGCAATTCCTCCAAGAGAAACAAATAAACGGTTCTTTTGATGCTGTTCGATTAAGTTTAGACTTAATTGGGGTCAGAATATATTTAATACATGTAGATTCTGGTCCTATTTTAATAATATCGCTGCTATTTCGCCGTTTAACAAGATGTGGTCGTGTATGGGCGCGTTGACACGTCGCAGTTTGATTTAAATATCACTATAAATATACCAATTTACATTCTTTAACAATTGAGCTTCTATACTTTTAAGGTACGATGTGCTTCTGAAATCTGAATTTTGCGATCGAACAACATTTAGGTTCGCAAGGCATCTAAATGAGTATGAACTGTGTTGTTTATGTTCAGAAGCTTTCTACTGAAGACTAGCACGTGCACGGCACGTCGGAGTTAACGCCAGAACAGGTGTCTTGTTTCCATAATAACACGTCATACATGTCCGCGCCAAAGCATAACGAGGATAAATGTATATTATACACACAGACGAATCACAACGGTATAATTCAGTGATTGAAATACGGACATATGAAATTTATGTATATTCTACTAAAACATAGTGTGGTTATTGTACTTATTTCGGAATGTATATGTTATGACTTTTTATATACATATACGTCGTCGTATGTTCGTGGTCGCGATATTCAGTTAGTTACCAGTTTCTTGTCAGTATTTTCCTCGTGACCTCGTCAGAGACTTCTGTGGGTAGCAAAGCGTATTCGCCATTGTTGTCGATTTTTTCTTAAAGTGAACATCTTATACTATTCATAGATACTTTAAGATCGACGAATACGGCAAACGGTAAACTTAGACCCCGGTAAACTTAGGGTCAAATTGCGAGGTTTCAAATTAATAAGCATTTGCTAATAATCGTTGCTTTATAACCGCACACGAAGATGTTGTGACGAGCGGTCCGGCACCGTGACGCAGCCTCAAAATTCGCTGTTTAGGTAGTCGACATTAGCTAATTCCGCAGGTTGGGGCCCGTTGGGACAATTTGCGGTATGAAAATTGAAGCATGAATGCAAACGAAGTTATCAAAAACCTAGAATTTAATTTCAAATGCGATTTATTGCCGTGAACGGCAATCATCAAGTCTAAGAAATTATTGTTATACTTACCTGAATAAAGTCCTGATTAACAATATTCACCTCATCGGCATAACTATGCATTGAATTATATGTGTACAAACACACTAAGACTGCAACAGCAAGTTTCAGCAGAAACAAGCGCCTACGTAACAGGTTTCTGAAACTTCGCATTCTGCAATAGAGTGTAATAGGCGCACGCCGAGAAACGACAGGAGTTCATCTATAAGCTGATTAGTATTCCGGAGTCATGAAGTGGATAATTGGTTTGATCCAACCAGCACGCTTGCTCTGGCCATGCACAAAAGGCGTTCGTCCGAGCGGGTAGATTTAGCACGTGAGAAACTAGGGGAACCTCAACAAATACACGTTAATTAAGAAAGCAAAATTTTGCTATGCTGCTGGATCCAATGAGTAAAAGCTTTCACGTTCAGCATTGTTGCATTGTTGGTTTCATTGTTTTTACGGTCTGCTAACATAAATAAATGAATATTCGCCCCCTCAGTTAAAGAACTTCCGCGGCACAGAACTACCAGAAGACAGAATGATTTAATTTTGTTAGTCAAAGTAGCTCAAAAAAAAAAAGCGCCGGTATTTAGATTAGACGTTACCAAAAATAATAATTTAATAGTGACAAAATGGCACTATGGCAGACACAAAATGTGCAAAAATCTTGCTGGCTCGTGCAATTTTTGCAAAACTGTTGCAAACCTGTTGGTATAAGAAGGAAATGAATTGATTTTTGTTGAATAAATGAAATGATTTTTCAGATGCATGCCATTGAAAAGTGTCAGACGCTAATAAAGAAATAGAAATAATTTTCAATTTAAATCATCTTTACAATAACAATATCTCCTTAAATGTGGTATAGATTTAGCTATGCATTTTGGTTGATCGCCATATTTGTTAATTCTGCTTATACCGCCTTTGACGACAAACTTTCCACTCACGTAATGCACCGTAGCTTCGAATATGCCATGATTGGGAAGTGTACGGAACGTAATTTGATAACGACAACGGCCTTTTGGTTGGACTTCATCGTCGGAATACTCTGGTTCGTAACCATCTTTTCCTGACTGAGCAAAACGTAATACTTGTGGTGACGCTGTTTCTACCTCTGCTCGAATTATTTTCGCTAGACTGAGCTTCGAACACTTTTTTGCACTCAACGGTACATGAAAAATCAAATTGTTAATGTGATTAATTGCTTCAAGCGCCCCCTCTTGCATATGAACGTGTCTATGGTCAACCGCAGACCACTGCAAACACGGACACCAATGTAATGGTATGCTTGCATCATTGCACGAACGTGTTGGTGGTACTTTGGTCAACAGACTTATACCATGTTTCGATTTCTCCTGTTTATTTCCATACTCCAAAATGTGTTCGAAGGTAGCGTGTAAATCGTACCAGGTTGTCAGGCGTTTAGTGTTTGCCTGAAGATTCTTTGCAGCCTTCGGATATCTCTCTTTGAACCATTTCGGAAATGTCATAGTGAAAAGTGGAAGCCTCTCCTCCAATTTTCCTTGCAGGGTCTGCCTGAAATCGCTAGTTCTGAGGCCATGGTCACCAAATAAAATCAGTACGGTGTTTTTTAAATATCCTTTTTCCTTAAAACTTGTTAGGAATTGCAGCAAATCTTTGTCGAACATTCCTGGTACATTAAATTTGTTATGTGATATTTCACCTATATAAAGAATCAAAAGAGATTAGGGATCGAGTTGACTTGCTGCAGAGCTTGCTTTCCCGTACTTAAAATGCTTTGCTATTGGCCTCAGTGGCGTGGCTAGAACGATAAGTAAGTGCAGTAGCTTACAATAGAAGTCCTTCTGGCAGAACTGGATATATGAATATTCAACCCCCCTCCTTAAAAAATTATTGTTCTTTTTATGTCCCTTATCGGCCTTAAGGCTAGTTTCCACTCAGAAAAAATCTCCTTTGGTCGGAACGGACAGGAAAATTTCTTTTGTCAGTGAGTTCTTAGGCGGCGCCTATACAAAGGAAACTTTCCTGTCCTGTCCGATCCGAAGGAGAATCTCCCTGAGTGGAAACTAGCCTTTACACGTGGTTAAAAAAAATATATCAAGCATACATCAATTTTTCTTAATTCGACTTACTTGCAAAATGAAGGAGAAACTTCCTCTGTTTAGGATACTGTTCATAAATCTTATTTGCTAAATCCAGGTGGTAATTGTATATTTTGTGACTGCCGTAACAATGTAGATTGCTGCTGGATTCTTCAGCGGCTAAGAAAAATGATCGCGGATAATAATCCGTTGGTGGATCTTGAAATCCAAGAAGTCTGTATTGAAATGATCCAAAATGTGGTGAATCCTCGCAATATGATGTTACGTAGCCCTTTGCTATATTAAATATAGATAGATGTTTAATCAATAACCATTGCAGTTGCGACTGAAATACATGGTGCTTACATGGTGCCCTAATAATTTAGGAGCCTACGATCTTTTGTTATTAAATAGAGGCGAAGAAGATTTTTTTCACGCCCTGTACAGTTATTTTATCAATTATGTCTTCGGTAATCAATGGCAAATGCTACATTGCATTGGCAAAGAGAAGTGTGATTATATTTGAGCATTAATCGCACTCTTTGCGAGTTGTAATTGCATGCAATCTTGCCTACAGCCAATAAAAGTCACTCAAGTCTACTCTAGCCAATTGCCAGTCAGGATATAGTGACTGGCAATTGCGGCTAGAATAAAATGTGAATTTTAGTTACGAAAAATGGGAAGTTTAATTTTGATAAATTTTACTAATTTTAAACCCTACCATTTACCAGTGCCTTCCAATATGTGAAGTTTGAGTACTTTTGGCGAGATATTCGCAAAAGACAATTTAATGCAATTAGAGGTATTATCCCGATCGATGTTTGAAAAATCAACACAACTTTGGAAAGCAACATAAATATAATGCAGACATTACCTTTAGCTTTCTTAAATATCCAATTCCAGTCATCAACAGGTTCGGCATTAATCTTCCCTCGTCTTGATTCCCTGTACTCTCGTTCCCCTTTCCCCGTCAATAATGCTGCTATTTGTTCCGTTGTACCATCACCTACCACGCTATGTCCCATGAATATATATCCCCCGAGAACACTGCGTATGTAGTTGTATGTTTTTGAAAGTTGTCGTTGTGCCTGGCTGTTGGAGACTGAATCAATGGCAATGATAAGAAAGTTTAGGTCCAGTTCTAACGGGGGTGAATCTCTTGAGAGAATGTCTTGATTGGGAACGACCTGCATGAGATATTCTTTTTGCTCCGTTTGGTCGCTAAGCAATAAAGTCAATTCTATGTATTCGTGTGACACGGGAAACAGGCGAGACGTTATTACAATTGGGCGACTCATCATGAATGCAAAGTCATCTTCTTCGGGTCGAATTATGTACCGGTATGCAGAATACGTGACATCTGTACCTGATAAAGTAAACTATGTTATTTATAGCTACCGTTTATAAAGGAATTAAGCCACTCGATAAATCTGTTGTTCACAAGATTCACTGCTGATTCCCCATACAAAACATTCCTCACTATGATATATTATAAACTACATATTCGCCAAGACAGCATTAATTTAAGCTAACTACAGAAATTTATGCATGTTAAAACCGCAATGTCATTAATTTGAGTAGAACACATTTTGAAAATGTATGAAGAATAAACACTGACGCTAAAATCCGACGTTTCGGAGTCATCTTGACTCCATTATCAAGGTTTAATAAAGTGAAGTGAATTATAAAAATTACAGCATTTAAACAAAATCAGAATACAAAAGGTATTGTTATGATTACACACACATGAAGAACACAAGTCTGAGGCATCTGCAATTGGACGCCACATGAAGTGCGATCTTAATTTACCTAAACCAGACATTAAGAAATATTTTAAGATCCTTAAAAGGTGTCAAGGCAAATTTGATTGTTTGATATACGAGATGTATTTCATCCGTGACCGTCACCCAAAATTGAACACACAGTCTGACTCTATTAAATCTAAAGTCTTTATATGATCTCGTGTGCGTGTGTAATCATAACAATACCTTTTGACTTTTGTATTCTGATTTTGTTTAAATGCTGTAATTTTTATAATTCACTTCACTTTATTAAACCTTGATAATGGAGTCAAGATGACTCCGAAACGTCGGATTTTAGCGTTAGTGTTTATTTTTCATACAATGTCATTAATGTAGCTTTTTTGAAGGCATGACGCAATTCCCGCGATCCTTACCGATTAATTGGGACAATGGATAGTAGTAAGAGTAATCCATGCACCTATACAACCAATTCAGCCCAACTACATATGCCTTGTGTTACGCTAGGCTTACCCGTTATATTTAATACTCCGCCACTTAAGGTTGCTCTACGTTTGGTTACACAACTTAGATCTCCCAGCTCTTCCATATAACCCATTGCGTCGTGGTGGAATGGGTCAAGTTTTGGTATCTGACATGTTCCTCCACCAGATGTCATGTTCAATACATAACCCCCGATTGGAACAGCGCAGTTATTCTAGATATTGAAAATGAATTATAAATCAGTCGACACACATATGAAGACAATTAGAATATGCAGATCTTGCAATATGAAGGCAAGTTTGGATACCCTTCAGTTAGAAAAAAGAGCAAAAAGATATAATCAAATTTGATAATGAGTAATAATTCCTCAGCAAAAGTTAGCCGTTTGCATGGCGTAGCACTCAATAAGAAAGGCAAGTTAACCTGGACAAGGTCGTACGAAGATTTGAAGATATTTGTAGAGGTGCTTGGAACAAAAGTTGATGACAAACACATGTTAAACGAGCTAAGACGAGAGAATCAAGACTTAAAGGACGAGAACCAAACTCTTCGGAACAAGATTGAGAATCTAACACTTATAGCTTCGGATATGAACACAAAAATCAAGGACCTTGACAATGAAAGGCTTAGCCTAATTACATCAATAAGACTTCTTCAAGCAGCTCCGTATACTGATACTAATATTGAGCAATAACCGTCTCAAGCACAGAACAAAATAAAACAAAATTCGACGCGAAAACAAGGACAAGGCCGTAGAACCGAGACCGGGAGAGCAAACATTCAACTCAGCAATCGCTATAAAGCTCTTAATATTGATGACGATGAGCGGTTAACCAGGCATTAAATCAAATGGTAAATCGGATATAACTGACAGGAATCAGGCAGGCATCAATACTCAACCTAAAACACAAGCAACAAACACAAAGTCAATTAAAAGTCCAATCATTATCCTTGGAGACTCTATGGTAAAGATGCTGCAGCCAGCCAAACTCTCGCGTTCAGCCGGGAAAAAAATCCAAGTTAAAACCTTCCCAGGGGCCAAAATAGCGGACATGGAGCATTACGTACAACCAACGCTACGTACAAAGCCCAATACACGATTACCTTACATGTTGGTACAAACGACATACAGAACAAGAAACCAGAGGAGCTAGCAGCCGAAGCGAAGGCGTTATGTCAAGGTATAGTAAAACGGAATCCTACTTGCGAAATAGCTATCTCAGAAATTGTAAAACAACAAGATCCGATGTTAAGCACTAAGATTCATGAAACTAATAAATTGTTATCGGATCTTTGCGAAGAATCAAATTGGTACTTTATTGATCACAGCAATATAAACACTAGACATCTTAATGGATCAGGTTTACACCTAAATAGGCAAGGTACAGCCTTACTGGCAAAAAACTATATCAATTTTTTTAAAAATTGACTATTTCACAACAAAAGGAATTATACAACAGATTATATTTCTTTAACTAATCGTAATACTATATAGTAAATAATACGCGCCCTGAGCTTAACCATTACACCAAAAATGATTCCAAATCAGTCAACTATTAACATAATTTAAGGAGGGAAGTGATCAAGAATAGTAAAACTGATGTCCAAAACTGCGAACCAAATTTGAATGCTAATAAGTTTAAACCACTTAAATTAAAAGGATTTACTATTGCCCTTCTGAATATCAGAAGTCTAGTGAAAAACCTAGACCAACTTCGTCTTTATCTTTTAAATCAACAATTTGATGTCATTTGTATTAACGAAACTCGGCTTGATGCTACGGTTCCGAATCATGAAGTCGGAATAAATGGGTACGAAATTGTACGTAAAGACAGGAACCGAAATGGTGGGGGAGTTGCTATTTACTTAAGAACTCATATAAATTATAGCATAAGAAAAGAGCTGGGGCCGGTTGTTCGAAAGGTGGATAAGTCGCTATCCAACGGATAAGTCGCTATCCAACGGATAAGTTTTATCCAGCGTGTGATTTGCGTTGCACAAAGCTTGGATAACTTTATCCAGCGGATAAAAATCGCTATCTACCGGATAAATTTATCCAAGGTCTGGAGGTGGTTTAAATCCACTATCCAGTGGATAAATTCAAAGATACAAGGTAACACTGTAAACATTTATATAAAATAGGACAAAAATGCCACATTCCTGCTACTGTGTTTCAACAAACTAATACACATCATGATTGTATTCACTATTAGAAATGTTTTCGAAGTGCAATTTGTCGCAGCAGCGTTTCACGTTGCCTACACATTCCGTTCCGAGCGGCGATTTTTTGGAGATCCTCGCATTTATAACAGGCGGTAAATTTACTATACGCTTCTAATCAGTTTATAAACGCCAAGGGCGTAGGAAGCATCCAGAGGTTGGGGGGGCACCAGCTTCTAGGGGCACTTTTGGTTAATAAAAATGGCGGTTAAAATGGTTAATAAAAATATATATATATATATGGACGGTTTGATTCAGAGACCGCCGACCGCAGAGCATTTTTCGTATTTTTTGGGTTTGGAACTGCTAGGGGGGTTCGGGGGCATGCTCCCCCGAGAAAATTTTGAGATATATGCCTCTGAAATGGCTGCAAATCCCTCTCAATTTAAGGATTATTGGGAAATAGTAGATACTTTTTCGTTTCTTTTCGCTTCCCAAAAAGGCATTTTTTTTCACAAAAAGGGCACTTTTGGTCCCTTGAGAAATCTTGGGGGGGCACGTGCCCCCAGTGCCCCCCCCTTCCTACGCCACTGATAAACAATATGCAAAGAAAGATTCAACCTATTCCAAGGAAACTTGCTAATATCTAAGTAATTTCATTCACGAACATTAAAATAGTGTTCCGAATATGGAACCGAATAGCAAAACGTTGCAAGGTCAAGGAATAAAATTGCAATGTGTTTAATTAATAAAATCACTATGATGTGAAGTGCAAAGTTCGAGCAAATCACTTGTTCAAGTCTTTTCCATTCAGTAACTATACTTGAGAATTCGTAATGATTATGAATTTAATGTTGTAAATGCTTAGCAACAGCTGACGTTGTGGTACGAAATTTCAGGATAATCCTGTTTTCTTCCGGTAAATTTTAACTTATCTATTGGATAGCTATCCACTTCACTATCCACGCTTCGTGCAATGCGTTTTTATCCAATGGATAACTATCCACTGGATAGCAGATTTATCCGTTGGATAGGACTTATCCGTTGGATAAGTTATCCATCTTTCGAACAACCGGCCCCTGATGTCTAACGAACTTGAAACCATCACAATTGAGATCTCTAAACATAAATCAAAACTCTTTTTGATAAACTGTTGGTATAGACCACCTGACTCTACAATAGAAATCTTTAATGAGATATATATGAAGACCTCGTTAAGAAAATGGACAATGAAAACAAGGAAGTAATATTAATTGGAGATTTCAACTGTGACTGGTCTCAAATTGTAAACAACAATGCCAGTTCCAAGACAAAGAAACTTGCCGAACTCACAAAAACTCTACAATTTGAACAATTAATTAACGAACCTACACGAGTAACTGAGACATCTAAAACACAAATTGACCTAGCTTTTACAAATAAACCAGAAATAATCATGAATACTGGTGTAGATCACATAGGAATTAGCGACCATAGTCTTATATTTATTCAAAGAAAAATCTCAATACAACGAAAAGCGCCAAAAATAATTAAAACAAGGCAATTTAAAAACTACAACGTTGACGAATTCAAACAAGATTTAGCAATTAATTTGCAAACAATCTCATTAACGAATAACCCGGATGAAATGTGGGATGAATGGAAACATATATATGTTACAGTAGCTGATAGGCATGCACCACCAGTTATTAGGATATTTTGCCTAATATACTGACCGTTGAAACTTTAACGTGTTTCTCTTTGCGTTTACCAGCCTCGGGAACAAAGAACTGCGTTATCGGGCTTTCATACTTGAAATCTTTTTTTGCAATTCTAATTTTTCTGTGATTCTCCCTTTTTTCGTAATTCTTTTTTCCTGACTCAGCGTCCTCCACGACCTAATAAAAGTAATAATAAAATAGAAATTTTAATTCTAAAATGGTTGATGGTCCTACTGATTTCGAGTGGAATTAAACACGTTCCAATTCAAGCTAGAAACAGTTAAGATAATTATCTATCAGTTAACAGTTTCTTATTATCAGTTAAGGTGGCTCGATACAGTGTATTTAGGCGCTCTTGCGCGTGGAAAAGTAATAACCTTGCGATATATGTCTAGTTTTATTTTCGAACGCACTGCCAAAACCAGCGAGAAACATAAACATTATCATCATAATACTATATTATCAGAACCAGAACAACATGCGCGATGCGTGTTTGTTTCACCGTGATGCGTGTTTTGGACACCGCGCGTGCTTCTTTTCCCATTATCCGAGGCAATTGGTCATTTTGGAGTGAATTTTGTACACGTATGTCGCCATAGCAACAGACGATTTGTTACTAAAACTAATACGATTCAAAAGTAGAGACATCAAAATGTATAAAAAGCCATATATCTGTGGAATAAATCATAATAATGCGTTGTTTGAACGTGTCAAAGTGATGAAGAATGGAGTTTTTAAAATTCGTTATTTTGAGTCGACTATCAGCTTATTCTGGTTATAGGACAATTTGTCCATGTTAATACATATGTAAATTAAGTTATCTAAGACCTGTTATATTTTTTTCAAATGCGATTTAAAGCTTGTCGTTTTCGGTTTGCCGTGAAGGCAATCTTAAAATCTAATGATATGATCAAACTGATACCTACCTGATTAACAATGTTCCCCTTATCGACATAGCGACGTATTACATTATATGTGTACAAACACACCAAGACTGCAACAGAAAGTTTAAGGAGAAACGCGAGTCCATGCAACAGCTTTCTGAAACTTCGCATTCTGCAATAGAGTAAAATAGGCGCATGCGATGTCCATCTAGGCTCATTAGTATTTCGACGTCATATGACGTGGCATAATTGGTGCGCGCTTGCTCTGGATCCCACAACACTGCGACAACTGAACGCGTGCGAGCGACAGTGCGCGATATATGGTATTATTTGGTAGGTTTTGGTATATGTGATTACTATGGGCGCTTTCCTTTATACGATGAAAATGGCCGGACCGGTCCTGCTGTATTTCAGTACAGACAGATTTCTAGTATTTTGAAGTGTTTCAAGGACCCCACATTCATCGTTATTTATCTGCTTGTAGCACGGAAATTGCACCTCCACCGCTTGATTTCTGAATTGCACCTTCACCGCTTTAGTACTGGGGTTTCGATGAAATTCTGCCCTCTCGATACGATATTTTTTTCCCAACAAGATTACTTATCTCGAGGGATATAAGATCTCCTCTAGGGGCAATATTTCAAGAAATTTCTTGAACGGAAGGACAATAAATCATAAGTATTCCCCAAAGAAGCCAATAACGAGAACGTTATTCCAGATCTTACCTGAGAATTGAGAAAGATTGCTACCTTTACACGCCAAGTAACCGCAAAGAAAAACGGTAACTCATATTGGCCAATTCTTAAGCTTTCTTCCAGTTTGTGGTGTTTATCAATTCCAGCTTGAATTAAACACCCGTCACCACACGCATTCGCTATTCTTATGACCTGTTTTCTAAAATAAACAATGCTGCAAGACCAGTGAACTCTATGTGAACCGAAACAATAACTCGGGCGCCATTGGTGAGGCTAATTTGAGCCGAATTCAATTCAGTATTGTTTTTGTCATCACGGCTGACGATTGTGCCGACAAAGCGATACGAAGGGACTGGCACTGGTATTCGAATGGGCTGGAATGAGGCCGAATGAAGGCTGCCCATCGGCGTAACCAATTTTTCGTGTTAAACATCCATCAATAGGGTAAAATACATGTACATCCACAAGTACAGGCGATATTTATGCGATATTTAAGTCCAACACTAGGTGGCAAAACTGTTGTGTCAAGTTACACTAATATAAAATATACAAGGTATTCCTCAAAAAAGGAGACTACAGAAATGATCTCATGGTTCTTAAGCCGCCTTAAAGACTTGTTTGCATATTAAGACTGGTTAAGCCTGGTTTCCATTAGCCTACGTAACATAGACGGTGAAAAAAACGATACACCGTTATATTTCCACAATCATTCAAATATTTGTAGCCCGAATGTTGGAGCCCTGAAGTTATTACTAAGTTTTAGCTTCAGCGCGCAGGCTAGGTTTTCATTTAGTCGTAAATGTCGTGAACCGTTCACGGTGAACGTGTCAAGGTCAAGGTGATTGATGACTTGATGTTCTGTGGCTATGTTTCTACAAGCTAGTGTGCCGTGAAAATGACTTGCTCACGACAATTTTGGCGAAATAAAAACGAAGAGTCATAATTCGTCATAATCCACATGACATGTCGTAATTCGCTGTAAATCGTTGTTGTGCGAAATCCGAAATATGAAAACTGACCGAATCGCAACAAATTATATTACGGCATGTGAATTACGATGATAGCCGGGATAACTCGCTCCATTTAACAGGCCCTCGATGTGCCTCATCTTTAATTAAAAATTTTTGATTTTATTGACCTTATGCATAATACTTATTGAAAAATTATTGAAACTTATTTGACTTATTGAAAAATTTAAAGTTTGAATTTTTCGCCGTGACTACTAAAAACTAAAACCGTGACTCCCTGCAGGTGTCACGGTTTGATAATATTATGAGTCAGACATTAAACCGCGTAGTAAATAACGTTTTTCCGGATTACAAGTTAGAGCATTCGTGGGCTCACGTATTGTGGTCTTTAAAAACGCGTGGTATCGCGGGAAGTTTTGAAATCTTGACTCAATTTACAACGTGGTTTTTACAACGTGTTTTTATCATTTCATTTGCAAATATTCAATTTCTGAGGAAATATGGCTGAATCAAGGCAGTTTCAACTTGAAAAGAAAGATCCAGAGTAAGCATATGTTATTTACAAAAACCCGTGAAACCAGAAACCTGCATTGATCAGATCAATGACTTAGTATTATTGCGAATCTAACAAATCGCTATTGTAATATATGTTTGTACAAATCTAATCTTTAGTTTGCTTAGTCTTGCTCTTTTTTACTTTATTTAGAAAACGAAAAATATCTTGTCGGTAAGGTTCTTGCTCAAGTGTCGTGGTTTCTCAAATTAGTCAAATATGAAATGATGTTAGGCTCCTGTTCTAGGGCTGTGTCTGATATCATTTGATTTGTGAATCTTCACTTCTTTCTGAGTATATAATATTGATATATTTTAATGCATATTTTAATGGTTATATATTCCCACTTCTATTGTTGTCTAAAATGTGCACATCAGAGAAACAAGTTATTTATTGATTGTTGACAATGCTGGATGAATTATTTATAATGGGCACCATGTTGTCCCTTTGATTCTTTTTATATTGTGAACTTTCACGTCTATATAGGCCTAATACTGCAATATTGTAATACACAGCAATATTTAAAACACATCTGCAATAATTAATGGCCCAAAATATACTTATTTGAGAATATACCAACCAGGTTTTTACAATCCCTATTAATTGTCTTGTGAGCATGTATACCAGATATTTCAGCTTACATTTTTGTTTATAGGTATTTTGTTCGTGGAACATGCCGTGAGGGAAACAAATGTGCATACTCTCATGATCGCTCAGATATTCCGGTTAGTTCTTAAAAAAATGTGAATATTTGTGTTGATCAACCTGTTTTAACTGTTATTTTTATTGATATTGCAAAACTGAAGGCTAGGATGGTTTAAATTAAAAATATCACATCTTCAAATAATTCAGTTATGCAGATATTTCCAAGAAGGCTCCTGTTACTATGGAGATAAGTGTTGGTTCAGACATCCTGAAGATCAGTTCAACATATCAAGGTACTAAAATCAGTGCTTTAACAATTCAGGATGCATATAATAAATGCTTCTTTTAACCAACCTTAATTTTTATTACCAATTTTTTTAGTTGTTTTGAAGACTATCTTGTTCCTCCAGAAAGCTTTTTCTCACTTGGAAATGTTTTCAGCAACTGTATGTAGATTACTTTCTATAGCAATTTTGTGTGCTCTATTGAGATCAGCAGATATATAAGTTGCTTTTAATATGTTTTGATTTAGCAGTGGTTAATTGCATATTGCCTCCCCACGTCCTATATTTCTAATTAGATTACTGGACAGGGGTGGTGCCAGATGGGGGGCAAGGGGTGTATGTAACCCCCCCCCTTGGGGAACTCTTGCCCCCTGTTGGGGAAAACTTTACAATTCGTCGGGAAATGAACAGGAGATATATTGAGTTGCCCTCTATTGTTTTTAGTTCTCCCAAATAAAACAGATAAACATGTTCAAATTTTAACTTAGTATTTTACATTGTACATGGTTTGTAGCTTGAAAATTTTCATGAAAAAGTCTGTGATAAGAGTCTGAAATGCTATTTTCCAAAGATCTAGAGCAATCAAATTTCAAAAATTTTCATACGCTCCAAATCTAAGGCATGATACTGTAGCAATAAACTGAAAACTTTGCTTCCTACAAATACACGCTAAATAACAATCAGGAGTTCAGCCCCCCTGTTGAGGACCTTAGCCCCTGTGCCATATGGAATTCCTGGCGCCACCCTTGTTACTGGAATGTACGTATATTCCTGGATGTGCTTTGATCTCGTCATATACAATCATAGTACCTCTTATTGCTGCAATATTTGGTTCAATACATTAGTCTTTAAAGAAGTATCTTGATTGTGTATCAGTATTTTCCACTTAGGTGTGTGCGTCCAGAAACATCTTAAAATGCATGATTTTTGGCGTTGATCATAGACGTAGACATACAGATCGATTAAGGAAGCTATTAGGGTTTTGCTGAAATTTTTCTCGTTGTCGTTGACAGATGCAAAGGAATGAATAGTTATATACATATGAATGCTTTTAATGAACTGATATCCGTTTCGGCGTAGCGGCATAGGCCGGTACCGAAATATCAGTATTGGTAAATACCAATATTGTTGAAATCTGCATATCTTTACGCAAATTTAATTAGGCCAATAATTGCAAGTTTTCAAATTGGGAAGCAGCTATTTTTACAACCAAATACGACACACTGCTCATGAATGTTTTTATTTAACTTAATTTGTTCGCTCGCATTTGTTGCACATGTGTGTCATTTCCGCTGGGATGTTGGGACACCACTTTTTCGTCCACGCTATGACGTAATAACTTGCATAAAAAATCGTATCCCAGTTATGGCATCAATCATTTTGACAAAGCTGCATTCATTTAGGCGCTGACCCCCCGTCAATGAGCAATATCAATTTATTAATGGCAGCTGCTATCTCGTCTGCATGGTCCGATGCTAACAATAATCTAGCTGAATGTGAAACACCCAAACCGACGATTTCAGTGGAGAAAGTCATGGAAATGTGGAAAAGCATAACAGATGAAGGTAAATAGTTTTTTATTAAAATGAAAAAACCTGAACGCGGTAAAAGAGCTATAATTCTACTGAAACGTTTTGGCGGGAACAGCAAGGGTTATTTTTAAAATTATATCGCGACAATTTGAAAAACAATTGGAAAAAAGCTCGGAAATTGATTCTCAATAAAGATGGTATAATAAGTGCCTAAAAATAGACAAAATCGTCTTGACGTTTCTGCCTATATGCAAGGGCTTTTATCCGGAGAGTTAGCTAGTATGGTATTAAAAGCTGTGTTTACACCAAATCCCCTGTAGACCTTAGATTTGAACTGGATTGCCATTGTGTAAATGCACTTCAACGGCGAGGCCTTCCCCTAGAAATCAGTTCTGATACCTAACCTGCCGACATGATATAAAGACTTAGAGACGATGTAAAAACAAAATTTGCATTAAAACAAAATTAGCCGTTATTTGCGCCAATTTTATACAATGCAAAAACGTACACCAAACGACTGATTTTGAAACTTGGCTTGGCTGGATTGACTAAAATCCCTAAATACGTTTCTGGTATCAATTTAATCGGCTCACTACTAGTAGGCTATCGCTAATACCCTACTTAGGTAACGTGTATACAAAGGTATAAGTGCATACAAAAATTGGTTGGTTGGAACAGCATTCAGGTGAATGGAAAGATTCTGTGTGAATGTATATTTATAGTAAACTTCATAAACTGCTGTAAGGAAAAGCCTTTCATTCTTGTAAGAGAAGGGCATTCGATGTTATAACATGTTCGTGTAGGTGACACAGACACCGCCCAAGATTCGAACAAGTTCGTAGATGATAGTCGCGAATCGTTATCCGCGTTGGATGAAATGGGTCTGTTCTTTAGTAAGCTGGCTAAATTCGACATAAAAAACTGGCCGTGCTCTGATGTTATAGACCTGCTGTGTTTGCTGGCAGAATTTGACGATGTCGAATTCACCAGCCACGATTTAAGCAACGACTTATTTGTGGGCAATTTACTTTCTGAGCTGATACGTATTTGGAAGCCCTCGAGCGTTACGACCTCGGAGTTTCTCAACGCGTTAAGTGATTTGAAACAGATCGATATGACACAGCTTATCGTTTGCCTGGTTAGCTGTCCTGGTGGCCTTGATGATTTCGACTGCTTCTTGGGAGAAGTTTTGTATCATCTCCTGCAGACGAATCCGGATACACTTAACGGGGAATGGGTGGCAGATCTCCTCGACAAGTTCGAAGGTAACATGGACTGCTGCGTTGTTGACGCTGTGGATGTCCTGTCCAGCTTTGGGAGTCTCTTGAAGAATCCTGGCGAACTCGGAAAAATCGCTCATGCATACCTTGTAAAGACCGGCCTTCAAAATAGCTTTGAATGCCGTTGTAAAACGGCTGAATGTCTTTGTCCTATCGAGATAGATGAGGGAGTTGCGTTCATTTTGTTTGATGGCCTCACGCGAAGACTGAAGTGGACAAATAATGAAAAGAAGGATTTCTTTTGCAAGGCTGTGGACAAGCTGTTTTTACCAGGAGTGCTTTCTCAGCTCGGTATGCAAATATGCAAAGAGAAGACATTACATTTATTCAATGACTTTTTTATTTGTGACTATACTGTAGCTTGACAGACTTTGAGTATTAATTATGTTTCTTATATTGACCTATAGGTGAAAGCATGGGTCTCAAAAACATAGCCAATGAATGTAACTGCCTCGAGGAACCGAATAACAACAAAGCAGGAAATGTACCAAAAACGAAATGTCCGAGTGGTGATTGCAGTAACAACGCGAAACGAGACTGCGTGAACGGGCTGTGTGGTCGTTGCTGCAAACGAAGTGGCTTGTGGTGTGATGTTCACGTGGATCTTTTCCCCACTCGGTACCAGACCGTCCGCGCGCATGACCTGGTAAAACCACATATGAAATTATCGGCAAAGAAAGATCTCGATCGTTTCCTTGATGCGAAGGAAGAGGCTCGTGCTGTGTTGTTTGGTCATGATTTTCCCGTCACTGACGACGCCGTCATTAAAGTACTTGATCTATGCCAGAATATCCTGCTTCTTGAATTAGGTGCGTGTTATACATTTATTGTGAAGGGTACGGAAATTCGATGAAATTTAAATTAATTCAATTAACATTTTAAGTAGAATTGAAAAAAGAAAGGCAATTGTAATCGAATTCCTCGTGCAGGATCGTCTCATCCATCCTGCACGGCTTTCAACTAATCAGATTGCGAGTTTCACTGTAGTTGTTATAAAATTCTACAATGTTGCAATAACCATGCAAGCTACTACTAACCTAGGTTCATCTGATACTGGCAGAGGAAGGCTGGTTTCGGACGCCTTACTTCAATACATCGCTCAAAATCGTCCCAAACTGCTGAAACTCCGATTGGAATCGGCGACGTCCGTCACCGACGACGGCGTGTTGCATCTGCTCAAACACTGCCACGATTTGGAGTTTTTGGAAGTTTCCGGCAACGACAAGATCAGTGGCAAGTTGACCGATCGCACTCTTAAGGCATTGTTTGACGTGAATATCGCACCGAACATTCGGACCCTGATAGTAACCGATCAACATGGTATAAGCTATGATGTCGTCATGCGACTGCGCCGCTGCAGGCCTAATATCGAAATAACCGCTGGCGAGACTGACAGTGATAGCATGGCTTGGTCGCTGATTCTTGGTATGACTGGTGGTTGGTATGGCGATGGATTGTACTGATGAGTCGACCCGCATGCGCGCCTATGTTGTGTTGTTGATATTTGTGTTGATCACCATGACGAAGTATATTTGCGTATAAGAAAAACTGAATTAATTTGAATAAATTTGAATAAATGTGAATAAATTTGAATAATTTGAATAATTTCAATTTGTACACGTGCAAGCATTGTGTATATAAAGTTTTGAGAAAACAACTAAAGTAAGAAATATATAAATCAGGCCTAGCGAGATATTTGGAAAGAAATGAAGAAAATTTTGTATGCATGAAAAATAAAATAAATGTGAAAAACAATACAATTAAAATAGAAATCATGTTCGCCTGTTGGGGCATAGAATGTGAACCATTCTTGTAAAATATTTTCTGGAAACATATACAAAGTGTTTAAAAATTATAATGTTGAGATGTGTTGATAAATGATACTGTGAAATTTGCTGTAAAATTTTTGTTCATTTAATCTTTAATTAAAGATATAGATTTTGCGTTTTAAATGTCTGTCTATTTCCAAAGCGAATATAGTTCAGTAATCTGGCATGTACTACATGAATCTGGCAGGATGACATGAAAGTAACTATTGAAATTAGGTTTTCCTTGAGATTGAATGCCTCGATTATTATTACACTAAACGCACGGGTGCATGAAATTCAACGATTGTTTTTCATCATGGCAGTTAAAGAAAAGTAGAAGTTACAGAACAACAATTGCTATGTTAGCTTTATGACCAGGATGCTACTATAACCTTTTACGTAAGTCCGTAAACTTAATCCCCTTCACAGAATTTTTCATCAATGTAACTGCATGCCAACACGGAAAATGTTTAATATTTGTGACATGAAATCCTATGTATTTCGCAACATGTCACAGGGACTTAACGTCATTGATACGTGATTGCGAAAAATCGATATGTATGCAATTACAAATGAAACCAAATCGGCTTCCCACATTGATATATGATTTCCACTGGAAACCACCTTTCTCTTCTCCATTAAAGTAACAAGATCGCAAAATGCAATCATCTCAGATTATCAATTTGCGTAGCGTATGCTGTCTAGATGTAGGCGTTGAGAGTTGAGACTTTACATGCCCTCCTATTTTTCTAATGCTTTTTTTATTTCAAGTTTGCTCTCATGGCCACATGTTGTTCATCGCGTTCGATGTGGGGAAAATTCTAATTAACTCTTAATCAAAAATATAGAGATTAATTAAGGCTTGTTTTCACGATTTCCTTGTGATGTGGATGTACATGCATGGGTATGTCAGTCGAAGTCATTCCGACAATGACTTCGAATGTGCTTGTTTGGTTTAAAAAAACAACTTGTTTGACTACGTCAAAATCATCTTACGCTTTCGCCGTGTTACCAGGATCATATAAGAATTGAAAACCATTGTATCGCATTGTTACATGCACACTGCCTAAACGTTGTTCAGTTAGACCTATGAACACCTGCCACCTACCTACGGCTACGGCTTTCTACATCTTCTTATACGCACAGTGTGTAATTCTATTCTATTCTGTATTTTCTTAGCCTGTGAATAATACTGTCATATAATTTCCTTATCTTAATTGTTTACACTTTGTTTTGATTACAAGATACTTCTTATCATTCATTTCTTTTCACGTGATGTTTTTTTAATCGTTGTAAAAACGTTTCCATTCCATTCTATAGACTTCGAAATGAAGTGATCGTACTCGAAACGTTCTCTATTTAATATCTTCCAGGAGCTCACCTTGGTTCGCACTTGGCACTCCCACGTACGATTAATGCATTAGATTTCTATCCTATTTTTGTGTAGTACAATGCATGACCTATGATAGTATCACGTCTTTTATCCAGATGGTGAAAATATTTTCGTGTTATATAAATATCCAAATGGATACATTGCATAGCTATAAAATCTACATAAATAGTATTCAGCCACACCTCATGACCTTGCTGACAAACGCACATTTGGACAAGATAATGCTCTTGAGTGTGGCATGTCATGGCGACATCAAGATGAGAAATGAAACAGATCCATCATCAATAAATGAACGGCTTTAGCGCCCAACGGACGGAAACCTGAGAAAAATATCTCGTGTTGAAACGGTGCATACAATCCTGTCCGTCAAACACATAATCTTCTCTCGAAAAGGGAGAGGGTTGGATGCGGTAATTATGTCAATATATTGATATCATTATTTAGCAATAAACAGTCAGAGGTTCTTGCAGAGAGATATCGCAACATATACAATGACTATCCCATGTGGTGCATGTATTGTTGTATCCCAGCGTGCCGTCCTTATTTCATAAAGAAGAAACGTTAACGTCATTTCTTTTATTGCTGTGTGACATTGTTGAAGTGTTTGGCATGGCGTGGTGTCATTGTCATAATTGCACTGGGTGCACGACCTTTCTATTATCGTGCGTATAGCACGTTTAATCGATACGGTATTCGTACATCAATATCTCAACAGGTCCACTTACTTTCTGTATGCACGCCCGTTTCAATTGCATTGTACAACACCTCGTTGATGAATGCACACTATGAAATTATAATCTCTTAATTAATTGGCGGAAGTTCGTTCAGGGAGCCACTCGTACAGTTCGGTCACTGAAAAAAGGTAAAACATCACGAATCGCGGATATTAATTTTTTTTAAATTCGTCAAAGTGAGGTAACCTTTAACCCTGCATGTCTTTCACGACACTGGGAGAACAGCGAAAAAGGTCTTAAAGGAAACGAAATTAATGGAAAATTAAAAAGCGACCACATGCAATATGTTCTTGCGTTCGTATATATGCATTGAGTGTTGCACATTTGTAATAACTTTCTTCGTGTTCGATAAACAAGACGCACCGTCCCAAAATTTTGCTGCGAGAATTTTCGAAAGAATGGGTGAAAACACTAATACCTCCTGACCGGGTTATGATTTGAGCTCTTGTGGTGTGTCACACGAAACATGCGTCAAAGATGACGATGGCAATACTTTGAAATCACGATTGTTCAAATATGGAAATTGAATCGCCATTAACGAAAATTGAAATGATTTATTATCTAAGATTCCAGTTTATGATTCGAGTTCCCTGTCAAACAAAACATGCGTCAATAGGCGATTTTTTGAAATCACGATTCTCATAATGAGAAATTGAATCACGATTAAGAAAAGTGGAAATAATTTGATCACTCGTCACGAATGATTTAAATTGCTTTATCCGTTTCATGATGGCTTCTTTTCTTTTCCTTATTTTTTACCCCCACCTTTGCTAGTTAAATTTGTGCCAGAAATAGATACGCTATATTTAACAGAGAATTATTAAAAGTGCTGCATGTATATAACCGTGTTTCTTTCTTTCACCAAAACTGCCGTTTTAGGATGATATATTACATCTTGACTTAGGTTACAAAATTGGGAATACCGAATTGAATGAAATGACTCTCATGAAAAATCTGTAACCATGCAGTTGTACGAAACTCGAAAGCTGGATAGAGCTATCCTCTGGATGGTGATTTTCGAGTTTCTTTCTTCAACAACCTTGCTTGCTTGAGATGTTGTTTGAGATTAAATCTTAATATTCTTAGGTTAGATCGAGTTTCAATTTATTAATTGTTAGGTCAAGAGCTGTATAGGTTTATTGGGGTTTTTTTGCTGCAGGCATGTGATCAACATTGTTGGGGAGTTGTGTTGTTCATTGATCGGCAAACTAAAAGTAGATTCCAGTATAACCAAGCAGCAGCATGGCAGCGTTTATTATTTACCTCTCCTGGATGAAACCCCCTAGATCGAATGTCGAGACGTATTTTTTCCATTCAGGCGGCTGTTATATATCAAATTTGATGACTAAATAAATTTATATATTAGATTTTGTAAAGCAGTTTATACCGTGCTCTGGTGGTAAGGAGAGGTCGCGCTATATCCATACAGGCTCCAAACAAGTACTTAATTGGGGTTAGCATATGTTTTCTTTGATCACATTGCTCAGTGGAAATAGGAATTCATGCAAAATAGGGCGTGTATTCCATGATGTAGTTTGCATTTTTATAATGATGTTGTTAAACAATGTTCGTTTTAATTCAAGTATAGTATATTCATATATATATCGTCATGATATATTATTATGATAGCTACTATTAGTATAATAATATTCCAAATATTTCGCAATTAATGGTATATATATATATAATGTCCAAATTGGGGGTAAAGCAAGCTTTCCTATCAACGACGTGGGAGGTTTTAAATTGCTGTTAAAAGTTTTAAGTGTTGGAGTTTGTCAATATTTACTGGTGTTCTACGCGCATATACACTTATATTTAATTATACTTATTTAGTTATTTAGCTACATATTTTCCCTCTCACGATATGAATACATGCAGGATACAGCAAAAGAGAGATAGAGAGACGAGATTACATCTATAGACTCGACCAGTTTGTATAGTAATCATATATTCGCTTATTTCGCAAATATCTCCTTTTCATGGTTTCTTTTGCGGTCTGTTTTACTGGCCGGGTCGGGTTCACTTTCTTATTTTTTACAAAGACTTTCTCATGCCGCCTTTCGGGTATTTCCGCATTCCCCAGTATCCATATTTTATATATGAACGTACACGATCTTAGTTATTTTTTTTTTAATTCGGGCAACTTCCCTGTACTCTACCTAGTCTCCAATGCAAAACCACGTTCGTAAAACAGCTCTATCCTAAGTATACAAAGTTGAAATTGCAGTAAAGCTATATGTAAAGATGAGGGTAATGTTACTCCGAATGGCACCGTAGTAACAACGACCTGCATGCGAACAATTAAAAAAAATAGAAGATAAAACGTACGCATGCATGCATGTTAGCCTCCTCCGCAGGCATCTCGTATTTATGTATCAAATTATATTAGGTTATTAGGCATAGGTTAGCTTATGGTACTTAAAGTAAGTATAGTAACATGCATGTATCGTCATGCTCATTTCTTGTAGATAGCTTTGTGGGGTTTTTCTTATAATCACGTCATACTTTCAATGATTCTTTCCCAACAAATAGTTCATTCATGCAATAGTTTGTTAACAATGATTAAAATAACCGTGTAGATTGTTGTTTAGCTCTAAATGAAGGTCAAATCCTGGGCTTATAAGATGTTATTGTTTTTGAGTATTGTTGATTCTTTCCTATACATGACACTCGTATACATCATGTTTAGTTTGAGCTAATAAATTAATGCCAATGCATAATCCTAGCCGATATATAAGGACCTAGCCGAGCTACCTGGCTGTTCGGCAAAATCATTTGC